AGCTGAGTTAGGACGTTGTTAGTTACGATGGATCTGTTCCCAAGTTAAGACGGATAAAACGTTAAGATGGTAGTTCAGACGCCGTTTTAGTTGAGACAGATAGCAACACAAGGCAATCGCTGCTGCTTACACCGTCGTAGCAACATTGCTGAGTTCCGTCAATGATCTTTTCATCGTCAAAACGGTGTAGTCGCTGTTTCCGCCAGAAAAGCAACATCGTCGCTGCTGTAGCCGTCGAAGCTTAGCTGCTTGCTTAACCGTCAACATCTTAGCTGCTTAGACGTCGGACCCTACCTTCTTCTTCCGGCGTCAAAGCGACTCCGCTGTCGTTCCTTCCGTCAAAACAGCTTCACTGCCGTTCCCGGCGTTCAAGAAACATTTCTGACGTTTCGAAGCAACAGCGCTAGTGTTTCCGTCGTCAATGCAACGTTGCTGCTATCCCCAGTGAAAGCGATATCTCTACTGCTTCCACTGTAGACACAAAGTCAGTGCTGTTTCCGCCGTTTACGGCTCCGAATGCGCCGACAATAACACCAGTTACTTCCATTTTCGCCGTCAACGAAACGACGCTGCAATATCCGTGGTCAAAGCGACGTCGCTGCCGCTTCCGCCATCGAATCAACACCGTTACGGCAATAACAACGTGACTGCCGTTTCCACCATCATAGCGACGGAGCTGCTGTTTCTGCCGTTAACGCACCGTTGCTGCTGTTTCCGCCGTTAACGCACCGTTGCTGCTGTTTCTGCCGTCTCACGAGGATTGCCGACGGGTCTTGACCAAGGCAGAGACGCGGTTGTGGTCGCGACGAGATCAACGACTGCAGCAGCAGCAACCGAGCGGCCTGGAGCAGCACGCCTCTAGTGAAGGCATGGCGAGCGGCGAACGGAGCGTGGTACGTGTCAGGAAGTGCTTTCAGGGGGGCCGTGAAGTGAGTCGTAGGGCGTCGCCGCGCAGAGGCAGGAGTCCTTGCCCTTGCCTCCACCATTCACCTCCTTTCCTACTGCTTCTAACCCTCCCTTATTGCGCTGCTTCTGTCTGCGTGTCCCTCTCCCCATGCGTGTGTGTGGCTCATGGCCTGCGAGATGGACGGCAATGCAACAAAGTGGACGGGGAACACGCGGGCTGCTGTTGCTGGCTCGCACGAAAGACAACCAGGAGCAGCATGCGTTGAGTGAAGGCGTGATGCAGCAGCGGCAGGGCGACGGACGGATCATGGTACGTGCCAGGGGGTGCTTGCGGGGGGGCAGTGTAGTGAGTCCTAGAGCGTCGCCGCGCAGAGGCAAGAGTTGTGTCTCTTGCCCTTGCCTCCACCACTCGCCTCTTGCATCGATTCTAACCCTCCTGTGTTGCCTCTCTCCCCATGCGTGTGTGCGCCTCACGCCCTGCGAGACGGACGGTGGCGGCGAGTGGACGGGGAATGGGCGGGCTGCCGTGGCTGGCACGCACGAGAGACGGCCTACCAGCGAGGAGAAGTGAAAACGTGGTGCAGAGCGGCATACGGAACATGGTACATGCCAGGGGATGCTTGCAGGGGGGACGTGTAGTGAGTCGCCGCGCAGAGGCAACAGTCGTGTCTCTTGCCCTTGGCTCCGCGCTCGCTTCCTCTCGTGCTGCTCTTAACCCTTCCTTTTGCTCCGCTTCTGTGTGCGTGTTTTCTCTCCCCATGCTTGTGTGTGCCTCACGGCCTCCGAGGTGGAGGGGAGTGGCATTGAGTGGGCGCGGAATGGCATGGAGTGGACGCGGAATGGACGGGACTTCCGTTGCGGCCTCGCTTGAGAGACGTCCTGGACCAGAGCAGCACGCGTGAAGTGAAGGCAGGGCGCAGGAGTGGGAGATTGGCGGACGGAGTGTGGTACGTGGCAGGGAGTGCTTGCAGGGGGGGCGTCAATTGAGTCGTAGGGTGTCGCCGCGCAGAGGCAAGAGTCGTGTCTGTTGCCCTTGCCTCCGCCACTCGCCTCCTCTCCCGCTGCTTTAAACCCTCCCTTGTTGTGCCGCTTCTATGTGTGTCCCTCTTTCCCCATGCGTGTGTGTGCCTCATGTCCTGTGAGACGGACGTGGGTGGCAGCAAGTGGACGGGTGTGGCAGCAAGTGGACGGGTGTGGCAGCGAGTGGACGGGTGTGGCAGCGAGTGGACGGGTGTGGCAGCGAGTGGACGGGTGTGGCAGCGAGTGGACGGGTGTGGCAGCGAGTGGACGGGTGTGGCAGTGAGTGGACGGGGGCTGCAGCGACTGCAGGATGATGGCGAGCACACAAGAGGTCGTGAGTGGATCAGGTATAGCAGTTTGCCGCTTCACTTTTCACTTCTCACTTTTCACCATCTTCCTGCTTTCTGTGTTCCGTTCTCTCTTGTCTACCATTTCTCCACGGTGCCATGAGTCTTTGCAGCGGTGCTGTGAGATGATCATGCCACTCCTCTCAGCTCCCCAACCCCTCCTCTTATGTCCTCTCCTCCTCTCTGCAGCGACCGGTGGTTGCGACGGCAGCAACGACTGCAGTAGCAGAAGCAACGGAGTAGCCAGGAGCACAGGCAGCGGCAGGGCGCTGCTTGGAACGAAGGCTTGGCGCAGCAGCAACAGAACAGCCTGGAGTAGCACGATGGAAGAGAAGGCGTGGTGCATCGCTTCTAACCCTCCCTTGGTGCATCGCTTCTGTGTGGCTGTCTCTCTCCTCATGCGTATGTGTGCCTCATGGCCTGCAAGACGGAGGGGGAGGGAGCGGACGGGGAATGGACGAGAGGCAACCATCCAGTGAGGAGAGTCGGCGCCTTGAGTCTCCTGCTAAGTTTGTTCAAGTCAGTAGGTAACCATGCATGGTAACCGGGATTTCAGATGCGCCATGCATGGCATTCTATCTCAGTCCCGTCTCCAGCCTTCGTCTGCCATCTCATCCACTCGCTTCTGCTTGTCCTCTTCTTGCTCAGGCCTCGCTTCCTCTTCCTTGCCTTCCTTCCTCGCCTCACCTCCAGCACTCAAGGGGCAGTGATCATCACCAGTGGCTGCAGCAACGCAGGGATCACCAGTGGCTGCAACAGCTGTGGGATGATGGCCAACACACAAGGAGTTGTGAGTCCATCAGACCAACCAGCATACCGCTTCTCCATTCTCCGTTCTCTTGCGTTCTCGTGTGCAGTTCGGCCATGTCTACCATCTCCCCACGGTGCCCACATATCTTTGCCAATGTCTTGCCAGTTTTTCGTGGTACTCCTCTCAGCTCCCAAACCTCTCTACTCCTATGGTTTTACTGTATGCAAATATCATGATCACTTTGTCTCGCTCCCCCCTTCCTGGCCACGATGATGGGCAGGCCAGCACACAAGGAGTTGTGACTCCATCAGACTAACCAGTACACCTGGAGCACAACGCCTCAAGTGAAGGCGTGGTGCAGGAGTGGGAAAGCAGCGAAGGGAGCGTGGTAGGTGCCAGGGGGTGCTTACAGGGGGGGAATGAAGCGAGTCGTAGGGCGTCGCCGCGCAGAGGCAAGAGTCGTGCCTGTTGCTTGTGGGTCCACCACTCGCCACCTGCTGCTTCTAACCCTCCTTTATTGCGCTGCTTCTTTGTGTGTGTCTCTCTCTCCCCATGTGTGTGTGTCTCACTCTCCCCATGTGTGTGTGTACTCTCTCTCTCCATGTGTGTGTGTGCATTGTGGCCTGCGAGACGGAGAGCAATGGCAGCACGTGGATGCCTCAAGTGAAGGCGTGGCGCAAAACTGGGAGAGCAGCGGACAGATCGTGGTACGTGCCAGGGGGTGCTTGCAGGGGGGCCGTGAATTGAGTCGTAGGGTGTCGCCGCGCAGAGGCAAGAGTCGTGTCTCTTGTTCTTGTCTTTGCCAGTCGCTTCTTCTCCTGCTGCTCCTAACCCTCCCTTGATGCGCCGCTTCTGTGTGTTTTCTCTCCCCATGCTTGTGTCTGCCTCACGTCCTGCAAGACGGACGGGAATGGCAGCGAGTGGACGGGGACTGTGCATGTGCGTGTGGGGGAAACGGGGAAAGGCGGTGGGGTGTGCATGTGTGCGTGTGCGTGTGTGCATGCCTCTGAGTGTGCCTCTCAGCCTTCAAGCTCCGGAGTGTGGCAGATTGCTCGTGGTGGGTGAGCGAGAGAACAACGGACGGAGCATGGTACGTGCCAGGAGGTGCTTGCGGGGGGGGTCGCCACGCAGAGGCAAGAGTCGTGTCTCTTCTTGTTTCTGCCACTCGCCTCCTCCTCTGTTGCTCCTAACCCTCCCTTGTTGTGCCGCTTCTGTGTGTATGTTTTCTCTCCCCATGATTGTGAGGCGCGGGGGGGGGGAGGAGTGGAAAGGAAGGGGGGGGGGGGGAGGGAGAGGGGGGAGGGAGAGGGGGGAGGGGGAGAGGAGGGGGTGGGGTGGGGGGGCGGCGCCTGTCATTGTGTGCATGTACGCATGCATGCGTGTGCATGTGCGTGCATGTGAGTGTGACTCTCAGGCTCCAGGCTGTGGAGTGCGTTGTGTTGTAGGAACTTGCCTGTGCGTCGGTGGGATGGGGACAACATCCATTGCTTGCTTCTCGAAGACAAGACGTAACAAAAAGTGAGGATGCAGCAGCAGGGCGAATGCATTCTCCGTTGAGTTTTGTCCCAGTCCCCTTTCCATCTGCCATCTGCCATCTCTTCTGGCCTCTCATCCAATCGCTTCTCCTCCTTGCCATCCTTCCTCCCCTCCAGCAATCAGACGGGAAGTGGATGCGGCAACTGCAGGATGATGGCGAGCAGATCAACTGGTAAGCCTCTTCACCACTCTGAGTCTTTCTGCTTAGCCCTTATGCCTTGTCTGGCGTCTTTCTACAGTGCCCATGTGTCTTTGCTAGATGTTCATGCCCCACCGCTCGGCTACCCGTCCACCCCACCACCCCTCCACCCGTCCACCCCACCACCCCTCCACCCTTCCACCCCTCAAACCTGACCTCAAACCTGATCTCAAACCTGACCTCAAACCTGACCTCAAACCTGACCTCAAACCTGACCTCAAACCTGACCTCAAACCTGACATCAAACCCGACCAACCTCAAACCTGATGTCAAACCTGACCTCAAACCTGACCTCAAACCTAACCCCAAACCTGACCTCAAACCTGACATCAAACCTGACGTCAAAACTGTCGCCAAACCTGACCTCAAAACTGACCTCAAACCTGACCTCCAACCTGACGTCAAACCTGACCCCAAACCCGACCTCAAACCTGACGTCAAACCTGACCTCAAACCTGACGTCAAACCTGACGTCAAACCGGACGTCAAACCTGACGTCAAACCGGACGTCAAACCTGACATCAAACCTAACGTCAAACCTGACTTGAACCTGACCTCAAACCTGACCTAGAACCGGACCTCAAACCTGACGTCAAACCTGACGTCAAACCTGACCTCAAACCTGACCTCAAACCTGACGTCAAACCTGACGTCAAACCTGACCTCAAACCTGACCTCAAACCTGACCTCAAACCTGACGTCAAACCTGACGTCAAAGCGGACCTCAAACCTGACCTCAAACCTGACCTCAAACCTGACCTCAAACCTGACCTCAAACCTGACGTCAAACCTGACGTCAAAGCGGACCTCAAACCGGACCTCAAACCGGATGTCAAACCTGACGTCAAACCGGACCTTAAACTTGACGTCAAACCTGACGTCAAACCTGACCTCAAACCAGACCTCAAACCGAACCTCAAACCTGACGTCAAACCTGACGTCAAACCTGACCTCAAACCTGACCTCAAACCTGACCTCAAACCTGTTGCCAAACCTGACCTCAAACCTGACCTCAAACCTGACCTCAAACCTGACCTCAAACCTGACATAGAGCCTGACCTCAAACCTGACCTCAAACCTGACCTCAAACCTGACGTCAAACCTGACGTCAAACCTGACCTCAAACCTGACGTCAAACCTGACCTCAAACCTGACCTCAAACCTGACATCAAACCTGACCTCAAACCTGATGTCAAACCACACCTCAAACCTGACGTCAAACCTGACCTCAAACCTGACCTCAAACCTGACGTCAAACCTGACTTGACGTCAAACCTGACCTCAAACCTGACCTCAAACCTGACGTCAAACCTGACCTCAAACCTGACCTCAAACCTGACCTCAAACCTGACCTCAAACCTGACGTCAAACCTGACGTCAAACCTGACCTCAAACCTGACATCAAACCTGACGTCAAACCTGACGTCAAACCTGACCTCAAACCTGACGTCAAACCTGACCTCAAACCTGACGTCAAACCTGACGTCAAACCTGACCTCAAACCAGACCTTAATTCTGACCTCAAACCTGACGACAAAACTTACGTCAAACCTGACCTCAAACCTGACGTCAAACCTGACCTCAAACCTGACCTCAAACCTGACCTCAAACCTGACGTCAAACCTGACGTCAAACCTGACGTCAAACCTGACCTCAAACCTGACCTCAAACCTGACCTCAAACCTGACGTCAAACCTGACGTCAAACCTGACGTCAAACCTGACGTCAAACCTGACCTCAAACCTGACGTCAAACCTGACGTCAAACCTGACGTCAAACCTGACGTCAAACCTGACCTCAAACCTGACCTCAAACCTGACCTCAAACCTGACCTCAAACCTGACCTCAAACCTGACCTCAAACCTGACCTCAAACCTGACATCAAACCTGACCTCAAACCTGACCTCAAACCTGACCTCAAACCTGACGTCAAACCTGACGTCAAACCTGACCTCAAACCTGACGTCAAACCTGACCTTAAACCTGACCTCAAACCTGGCATCAAACCTGACCTCAAACCTGATGTCAAACCTGACCTCAAACCTGACATCAAACCTAAACTCAAACCTGACCTCAAACCTGACGTCAAACCTGACTTGACGTCAAACCTGACCTCAAACCTGACCTCAAACCTGACGTCAAACCTGACCTCAAACCTGACCTCAAACCTGACCTCAAACCTGACCTCAAACCTGACGTCAAACCTGACCTCAAACCTGACCTCAAACCTGACGTCAAACCTGACCTCAAACCTGACGTCAAACCTGACGTCAAACCTGACGTCAAACCTGACGTCAAACCTGACCTCAAACCTGACGTCAAACCTGACCTCAAACCTGACGTCAAACCTGACGTCAAACCTGACGTCAAACCTGACGTCAAACCTGACCTCAAACCTGACCTCAAACCTGACCTCAAACCTGACCTCAAACCTGACCTCAAACCTGACCTCAAACCTGACCTCAAACCTGACCTCAAACCGGACCTCAAACCGGACGTCAAACCTGACCTCAAACCGGACCTCAAACCGAATCTCAAACCTGACGTCAAACCTGACGTCAAACCTGACGTCAAACCTGACCTCAAACCTGACCTCAAACCTGACGTCAAACCTGACCTCAAACCTGACCTCAAACCTGACGTCAAACCTGATGTCAAACCTGACGTCAAACCTGACCTCAAACCTGACGTCAAACCGGACGTCAAACCTGACCACAAACCGGACGTCAAACTGGACGTCAAACGTGACGTCAAACCTGACTTGACGTCAAACCTGACCTCAAACCTGACCTCAAACCTGATGTCAAACCTGACCTCAAACCTGACCTCAAACCTGACCTCAAACCTGACGTCAAACCTGACGTCAAACCTGACGTCAAACCTGACCTCAAACCTGACGTCAAACCTGACGTCAAACCTGACCTCAAACCTGACCTCAAACCTGTTGCCAAGCCTGACCTCAAACCTGACCTCAAACTGACCTCAAACCTGACATCAAACCTGACCTCAAACCTGACCTCAAACCTGACCTCAAACCTGACGTCAAACCTGACGTCAAACCTGACATCAAACCTGACGTCAAAGCTGACCTCAAAACTGACCTCAAACCTGACATCAAACCTGACCTCAAACCTGATGTCAAACCTGACCTCAAACCTGACGTCAAACCTGACCTCAAACCTGACCTCAAACCTGACCTCAAACCTGACGTCAAACCTGACCTCAAACCTGACCTCAAACCTGACCTCAAACCTGACCTCAAACCTGACGTCAAACCGGACGTCAAACCTGACCACAAACCGGACGTCGAACCGGACATCAAACGTGACGTCAAACCTGACTTGACGTCAAACCTGACCTCAAACCTGACCTCAAACCGGACCTCAAACCTGACGTCAAACCGGACCTCAAACCTAACCTCAAACCTGACGTCAAACTGGACCTCAAACCTGACCTCAAACCTGACCTCAAACCTGACCTCAAACCTGACCTCAAACCTGACCTCAAACCTGACCTCAAACCTGACCTCAAACCTGACCTCAAACCTGACGTCAAACCTGACCTCAAACCTGACCTCAAACCTGACCTCAAACCTGACCTCAAACCTGACCTCAAACCTGACCTCAAACCTGACCTCAAACCTGACCTCAAACCTGACCTCAAACCTGACGTCAAACCTGACCTCAAACCTGACCTCAAACCTGACCTCAAACCTGACCTCAAACCTGACCTCAAACCTGACCTCAAACCTGACCTCAAACCTGACGTCAAACCTGACGTCAAACCTGACCTCAAACCTGACGTCAAACCTGACCTCAAACCTGACCTCAAACCTGACCTCAAACCTGACGTCAAACCTGACGTCAAACCTGACCTCAAACCTGACCTCAAACCTGACCTCAAACCTGACGTCAAACCTGACGTCAAACCTGACCTCAAACCTGACGTCAAACCTGACGTCAAACCTGACCTCAAACCTGACCTCAAACCTGACCTCAAACCTGACCTCAAACCTGACCTCAAACCTGACCTCAAACCTGACCTCAAACCTGACCTCAAACCTGACCTCAAACCTGACGTCAAACCTGACCTCAAACCTGACCTCAAACCTGACCTCAAACCTGACCTCAAACCTGACGTCAAACCTGACGTCAAACCTGACGTCAAACCTGACCTCAAACCTGACCTCAAACCTGACCTCAAACCTGACCTCAAACCTGACCTCAAACCTGACGTCAAACCTGACCTCAAACCTGACCTCAAACCTGACCTCAAACCTGACCTCAAACCTGACCTCAAACCTGACCTCAAACCTGACGTCAAACCTGACCTCAAACCTGACCTCAAACCTGATCTCAAACCTGACCTCAAACCTGACCTCAAACCTGACCTCAAACCTGACCTCAAACCTGACCTCAAACCTGACCTCAAACCTGACCTCAAACCTGACCTCAAACCTGACCTCAAACCTGACCTCAAACCTGACCTCAAACCTGACATCAAACCTGACCTCAAACCTGACCTCAAACCTGACCTCAAACCTGACCTCAAACCTGACCTCAAACCTGACGTCAAACCTGACCTCAAACCTGACCTCAAACCTGACGTCAAACCTGACGTCAAACCTGACCTCAAACCTGACCTCAAACCTATCGTCAAACCTGACGTCAAACCTGACCTCAAACCTGACCTCAAACCTGACGTCAAACCTGACGTCAAACCTGACCTCAAACCTGACGTCAAACCTGACCTCAAACCTGACCTCAAACCTGACCTCAAACCTGACGTCAAACCTGACGTCAAACCTGACCTCAAACCTGACCTCAAACCTGACCTCAAACCTGACGTCAAACCTGACCTCAAACCTGACCTCAAACCTGACCTCAAACCTGACCTCAAACCTGACGTCAAACCTGACGTCAAACCTGACCTCAAACCTGACCTCAAACCTGACCTCAAACCTGACCTCAAACCTGACCTCAAACCTGACCTCAAACCTGACCTCAAACCTGACGTCAAACCTGACGTCAAACCTGACCTCAAACCTGACCTCAAACCTGACCTCAAACCTGACCTCAAACCTGACCTCAAACCTGACGTCAAACCTGACGTCAAACCTGACCTCAAACCTGACGTCAAACCTGACCTCAAACCTGACCTCAAACCTGACCTCAAACCTGACGTCAAACCTGACGTCAAACCTGACCTCAAACCTGACCTCAAACCTGACGTCAAACCTGACGTCAAACCTGACGTCAAACCTGACGTCAAACCTGACGTCAAACCTGACCTCAAACCTGACCTCAAACCTGACCTCAAACCTGACGTCAAACCTGACGTCAAACCTGACCTCAAACCTGACCTCAAACCTGACCTCAAACCTGACCTCAAACCTGACGTCAAACCTGACGTCAAACCTGACGTCAAACCTGACTTGACGTCAAACCTGACCTCAAACCTGACCTCAAACCTGACCTCAAACCTGACCTCAAACCTGACGTCAAACCTGACCTCAAACCTGACCTCAAACCTGACCTCAAACCTGACCTCAAACCTGACCTCAAACCTGACCTCAAACCTGACGTCAAACCTGACCTCAAACCTGACCTCAAACCTGATCTCAAACCTGACCTCAAACCTGACCTCAAACCTGACCTCAAACCTGACCTCAAACCTGACCTCAAACCTGACCTCAAACCTGACCTCAAACCTGACCTCAAACCTGACCTCAAACCTGACCTCAAACCTGACCTCAAACCTGTCATCAAACCTGACCTCAAACCTGACCTCAAACCTGACCTCAAACCTGACCTCAAACCTGATGTCAAACCTGACCTCAAACCTGACCTCAAACCTGACCTCAAACCTGTGTTAGTGTTAGTCTTCAATCTCACAATTTGTACTTTGTATTTTCTATATCCTAGAGTAGTGTAGTTTGCACATTGTGTTTGGTTGGGTGTACACCTACATCCCAACCAAACCCAAATGTAATCTCCAACCAATCTCCAACCCACCAATTGGAGATTGCCTTGGGATTACCCCCAATCCCTAGAGATTGCCCCCGATTCCCTTCCCCATCCTTTTCCTACCCCTCTTGGATGTACTTAAAGAGCTTCAAGCTCATTACTAATGCATCGCTTCTAAGCCTATTTCTGACATGGTATCAGAGCCCTTCAACCGCATACGCGGATCGTGATCTTCTTACCTCTGCGGATACTCGTCCCGCAAACCTCGGCGAAGCCATCGTCAACCTCGTCGCCGGTGATTCGCGACATTCGTCGGCGGAAATTTTCCCGCTGCACCTTCCCGTCACTTTCGACGGTAATTTATCTGGTAAGCGCATCGTCCGCGCTATAACCTAACGCTCGCTTTCCTCCTCGTCGGGCCGCCGCCCGTCGCCCTGCAGCTTCTCGTCGGGCTGCCGCCCGTCGCCCTGCAGCTTCTCGTCGGGCCGCCGCCCGTCGCCTCGCAGCTTCACGTCGGGCCGCCGCCCGTCGCCCCGCAGCTTCTCGTCGGGCCGCCGCCCGTCGCCCTGCAGCTTCTCGTCGGGCCGCCGCCCGTCGCCTCGCAGCTTCACGTCGGGCCGCCGCCCGTCGCCTCGCAGCTTCTCGTCGGGCTGCCGCCCGTCGCCCTGCAGCTTCTCGTCGGGCTGCCGCCCGTCGCCCCGCATCTGCACTCCTACCCCTTCCCCCTTCCCGCAGCTGAACAGGTGCAGCAGCGCAGCCGAGCAGCCGTGTAGCCGCGAAGCAGAGCAGCCGTGTAGCCGCGAAGCCGAGGGTGGTGTGTGGGGGGATGTGTGGGATTAGTGATAGATCTACGGAAATCGGCCGATTCGACCTAACTTTGGCGGCCTGAAAAGGAAAAAGGAAAAACCTTCTACGTGACATTCCGACGCGGCCGACATTGACGATTTTCGCTATTCCGGTCCGTCGGATTTCGGAATCGCTTTCGAAGTTCCTATCGGTGACTTAAGAGCGGCGCTCCGCGCGAGAAGGGGTCTCCACCATGGCTCTCTCGTCTTCCACCATGGCGAACCCCATCACCCCGCTCCGCCTTGAAGCTGATGGCTCTAGCTCCAACTTCAAGGCGTGGAGCTACGGAGTTGACAAGCACCTCCTGAGCCGTGACGTGCAGGGCCTTGACCTCAAGGACGTCCTCCTCAACCGTGGCAAGGGGAAACAGCCTACTATTCCCCGTGAGCCGACCGAATCTCCAAGTGATACTGACGTGAGGGCGTACGAGGAGGCTGTTGAGAAGTACCGGAAATGGGAGAAGGCCGATGCTGCCATCATCAGCGTCTTCATCGCCTCCACCCCTCCCGAACTTGTCAACACGTTCCATAACTACCCTACCTCCAACGCCATCTGGAAGTACCTCCAGGATCGGTTCATGAACAAGACGGCGGTCGGCGTGGCCATTCTCATCCCTAGCATGTTTCAGGTCCGCCTTGAGGACTGCTCGGGAATGGCCGATTACATTGCCAAGGTGCAGACCATTCATGGCGAACTCAAGGAGCTGGGTATAGTCTTCCCCGAGCAAGCCCCTGCAGCCGCCCTACTTGTTGGACTCACCTCGGCATATGAGGTCACGAGGAAGATGCTCCTCACACTCTCAGCAGAGGACCTCACCTTTGCTAAGGTCTCCACCGCACTCCTCTCTGCCGAGAAAGACTCCACGGCTCAGGCCAAGGCGTACGCTATCCGCGCTCCCATGCCTCAAGCAAGTGTCGCAGCGGCTCTCGCCTCGGCGCCCTTCCAGCGCAACCGCTTTCCTCCGTGCCCCTACGTCGTCAAGTATGGGAATCGCAAGGGACAAGTGTGTGGTGGCACTAACCACCCCCTCGCCACGTGCTTCAAGAAGAAAGACGACGAATGGTACGCCATTCACGGAGTGGACAAGAAGCCGCCGAATTGGATGCGCTCTCGCAAGGCCAACCTAGTTGAGGTCCAGGACCCCGCTTCGACTAGTGCTAGTGATGCTGCTCCTGCTGATGTGCGTATCAACCTGTTGTTCCCTGGCACTGCCATGATTAATGAAGCTACCTCACAGTACATCGGCTCATCACACGCACCACAATACATAGAGTTCACACTCGATAGCGGGGCCACTCACACCGTGCTCAAGGAGACCCTCTCCTTCAAACCTTACCCAACACCTATCCCTCTCTTAGGAGCTGACTCAAGCTTCACCACCCTCGCCAAGGGTACCTCCACAGTCCCATGCCCCGCCTTCCCATCCGGCACTGTCACTGGCATGTGCGTGCCTTCACTGCGTCACAATCTAGTTGCCCAAACAGAAATTCAGGAGGCAGGGCTACGCACCATCTTCCCAGAGAACGAGGACTATTGCGACATCATCGATCCACGCACCAACAAAACTCTGGCCCGCTACACCCTCAACAGCAACGGCCTCTACACGCTACGCGTCCCTCTCCCACAGGTGTCAACCACCCAAGCACAGGCCACTATCACACCATGCTCATGTCGCACCCTCTCCAACCCGACCATCCTCTACCACCATCGGCTCGGGCACCCAAATTTCCGCACTCTTGCTGACATGGCCTCCAAGAAACTTCTCCTCGGCCTGCCAGCCGCACTTCCCCCACCACCTGACTCACCAGCTCCCACGTGCCTTGATTGCACCAAGAGCAAACTGCGCCAACAGCCCCATGCTGCCTCACCCACAATCGCTGCAGCACCACTGGACCTCGTGCACATGGACGTCTGGGGCCCTGCCCCTGTTCTCGCACGAGGTGGCTATCGCTACTTCCTTATCATTGTGGATGACCACTCCCGCTATGTCTCTGTTCACCTCCTCCACACTAAGGCTGAGGCACCCGAGGTCATCATAGCGTGGGTCAAGCAGGCACAGACCACTTTTGACCGCAAGGTCAAGCGCCTTCACTCGGATGGGGGGGGTGAGTTCTGCAACGACAAGCTCAAAGCCTTCTGCTCCTCCGAAGGCATCCAGCAAAACTTCACCCTCCCTGACAGCCCTCAACAGAACGGCATAGCTGAGAGCCGCAACCACACCCTGGTGCAGATCACTCGGTGCCTCCTCAGCCACTCCAACGCTCCTCACTCTCTTTGGGGGTACGCTCTCTACCACGCTGCCCTCCTCTACAACCTTTACCCCCACCCGCACCTTCCCGACACCACTCCAACCACACTCTGGCTCGGGAAAACGCCCACTGCTCGCTCTCTTCGCGTTTGGGGATGCACCGCCTATGTCCTCCTCAACCCTCAGGCTCGACGGCATAACGGTGGCAAGCTCGGTCCCAAGACTCAGACGTGCATCTACCTCGGGCACAACGCCGACTCACCTGACTACCTCTTCCTCAATCCCTCCACTCACCAGTTGGTCAGGAGCCGTGACGTTGTCTTTGATGAGACCCGCCCATTCTACTCCCCTTCGGGACGGGACCCTCTCCCTGATCCACCCTCCCTCGTGTGGGCAGACTTTGATGCGCCTCCCGACCTCCCGCCTGCTCCTGCTCCCTCACCTCCTCCCTCTCCTGCCATCGCACCATCTCCCTCTGAGGTCACTGACCCGGCCTCACCGGTGTCTTCGGCAGCTGCTCCTCCCTCCCCCTCACCTTCCCCACTTCCCGCTGCGCCGCCCCCTCCGAGCGCACCTATCACCTACCATCGGCGGTCCCACCCTCCGGCCCCACCTCCTCCCCCGGCTCCCCCCACCACAGAGGAACCCGCTCTCCCACAGTCGCCCGAGCTGATCACGTACCGCCGGCGACCCCTTCCCCCGCCCAAGCCTGCTAAGTCACCCTCTCCGACCCCGCCAGCCCCACCCTCTTCCCCGGTGGCTCATGGCACTCGCTCACATCGCGCTACTCTTCCACTCGCGATGGTTCTTCGATACACCGCGATCACACCGCCTCCTCCTGCTGGGGGGGATGTGCCCTCTACCCTTCTAGAAGACAGGCATGAGGAACTGTGTGATCTCCATGCAGTCCTTCCTCAGCTCTCACACATCTTCCCCGACATCACTGGCTCACCCTCCCTCAACTTCGCGGAGAACCCGACCATCCCTATCCCTCTCACCGTCCAAGAGGCTCTCTCAGGCCCTCATTCTGCCAAATGGCGTGCTGCCATGGACGCGGAGATTGCAGCATTCACCCGCAACCACTCCTTCGACGACGAGACTCCACCTCCAGGAGTCAACATCGTCGGGGGCAAGTGGTTGTTCCGTGTAAAACAGCTCCCAGACGAGGCACCGGTGTTTAAAGCGCGCTACGTAGCCAAGGGCTTCACCCAGCAGCAGTACCGCGACTTCTTCCTAACCTTCTCCCCCACATCCAAACCTCCCACCATTCGTACGCTCATGGATGTCGCAGCTCGAGAAGACTTCGAGATCAAATCCATGGATGCCTCATCCGCCTTCCTACAAGGACGTCTCAAGGAGACAGTGTTCATGGACAGACCAGAAGGCTTCCCAGGAGATTTCCCTCCCAACACTGTCTGGAAGCTGAATCGCCCCGTCTACGGCCTTAAGCAAGCCCCTCGCGAATGGCACAACAAGGTGAAAGAAGTCCTCCTCTCCCTGGACTTCCACCCTTCAACTGCTGACCCGACTCTCTTCATCCGCCGTCATTCTGAGCCCTTCTACATCCTAGTCTACGTGGATGATTTCATCCTCGTGGCCAAGGACTCGGCCCAGATGACCTCAGTCCAGGCAGCCCTAAGCAAGGCTCTCCAGATGAAAGACCTCGGTGACCTCAAGCACTACCTGGGGATGGAGATCACTCGTGATCGCAAGGCTCGCACCATCTCACTCTCCCAGGAGTTCTACATCGACAATGTGCTCAAGCGATTTGAGATGGAGCTATGCACACCTGTTGCCACCCCGCTGCCGCTGCAACACCTCCTCACAGCTCCAGCGGTACCCACACCAGAGGCCTGCTCTGAGCCATACCCGGAGCTTGTTGGGTCCCTCATGTACGCCATGATGTGCACCCGGCCAGACCTGGCCTATCCTGTCAGTGTCCTCTCTCGCTACGTGGCCCCTGGACGCTTCACTGACCTTCACTGGAAGGCAGCCAAGCGGGTGTTGCGCTATCTTCAGGGCACCAAGTCTCACGTCCTCACACTCGGTGGGCTCTCCCCTCCTCGCCTAGAGGGTTACACCGACTCCTCCTGGGCTGATGACCAGACCGACCGACGCTCCTCTCAGGGGTACTGCTTCACCCTTGGGAGCGGAATTGTCAGTTGGCGCTCCACCAGGTCGTCTGCAGTCTCCCTCTCCTCATGTGAGGCAGAGCTCTACGCAGGCACCATGGCTGCTCAGGAGGCTCGTTGGCTAACCTATTTCTGACGTCAAACCTGACCTCAAACCTGACCTCAAACCTGACCTCAAACCTGACCTCAAACCTGACCTCAAACCTGACCTCAAACCTGACCTCAAACCTGACCTCAAACCTGACCTCAAACCTGACCTCAAACCTGACGTCAAACCTGACCTCAAACCTGACCTCAAACCTGACCTCAAACCTGACCTCAAACCTGACGTCAAACCTGACCTCAAACCTGACGTCAAACCTGACCTCAAACCTGACCTCAAACCTGACCTCAAACCTGACGTCAAACCTGACCTCAAACCTGACCTCAAACCTGACCTCAAACCTGACCTCAAACCTGACCTCAAACCTGACCTCAAACCTGACCTCAAACCTGACGTCAAACCTGACCTCAAACCTGACCTCAAACCTGACGTCAAACCTGACGTCAAACCTGACGTCAAACCTGACGTCAAACCTGACCTCAAACCTGACCTCAAACCTGACCTCAAACCTGACCTCAAACCTGACCTCAAACCTGACGTCAAACCTGACCTCAAACCTGACGTCAAACCTGACCTCAAACCTGACGTCAAACCTGACCTCAAACCTGACGTCAAACCTGACCTCAAACCTGACGTCAAACCTGACCTCAAACCTGACCTCAAACCTGACCTCAAACCTGACCTCAAACCTGACGTCAAACCTGACGTCAAACCTGACCTCAAACCTGACCTCAAACCTGACCTCAAACCTGACCTCAAACCTGACCTCAAACCTGACCTCAAACCTGACCTCAAACCTGACCTCAAACCTGACCTCAAACCTGACCTCGAACCTGACGTCCAACCTGACGTTAAACCTGACTTCCAACCTGACGGCAAAGCTGACGTCAGAACTGACCTCAAACCTGATGCCAAACCTGACATCAAACCTGATCTCAAACCTGATCTCAAACCTTACCCCAAACCTGACTCCAAACCTGACCCCAAAGCAGACCCCAAACTGACCCCAAACCTGACGTCGAACCTGACCTCAAACCTGACTGCAAACCTCACCTCCTCCCCTGCAGCTCCTAACCCTCCCCTTATGCGCCGCGTCTGTGTGTGGGGGGGAGAGGGGTGTAAGGTGGGAGGGGAGGGGAGGGGGTGGGGTGGGGGGCGGCGCCTGCCTGTAAGTGTGTCAAGAAACATGCGTGTGCATGTGTGTGTGCATGCCTGCGAGTGTGTCACTCAGGCTCCGAGCTGTGGAGTGTGTTGTGCTTTGAGCACGTGCCTGTGCGCCGGTGGAATGGGGACAACAAGCTGCTTTCTGTTCCTTGCCTCTCTAATAAGAGGTAAAGATGCAGCAGCAGGGCGAATGCATCCTCCATTGCTCTTTGTCTCAGTCGCTTCTCCAGCTGCCATCTGCCATCTCCTCAGCTGCCGTCTGCCATCTCCTCAGCTGCCGTCTGCCATCTCCTCTGGCATGTCAGTGCTTTTCCACATCCTCAGCCTCTCATCAACTCGCTTCTCCTCTCCTTGCTCTCACGCCTCTCTTCCTCCTTGCCGTCCTTCATCCCCTTTCTCCTGCACTCAATGGGGAAGTGGATGAAGCAAGAGGGGGATGATGGCGAGCACACAAGTACTGTGAGTGGACCAGATCAATTGGTATACCACTTCACCATTCTCAGGCTTTCTGTGCCGTCTTTCTGCGGTGCCCTTGTGTCTTTCTACGGTGCCCATGTGTCTTTCTACGGTGCCCATGTGTCTTTCTACGGTGCCCATGTGTCTTTCTACGGTGCCCATGTGTCTTTGCTACTCTGTTGCCATGCCCTTCTGCTCGACTCTCAAATCCCTCCTCTCCTGCCCTCTCTTCTTCTCTGCTCTCCTCTCTTCCATCACCCGTACGGCAGCACATCTTGTCGTGCACCAGCAGCATGGACAGCAGCACTTGCAGTTGCAACAGCGGCAGCAGCAGCAGCAGCAGCAGTGGTGGTGGTGGTGGCAGCAGTACTTGCAGCATAACGACCACTGCAGTGGGTGCAGCTGCAGCAATGGAGGGGTAATTACAGTCTACCCTATGCTTCCAAGTTCCCTTTACATGTTTGCTGTTTAACATCGCTTGTGTTCTTGTCTAGACTCCAATACCTTACTCGTTTCCCATCATCCTTCTCCTCTGCCCTCCCTCCCATCTTTCTGTATCCTGATATTATGGTGCCCTCGCCTCCCCGCCTCTCCCTTCATCTACGTCCTCGTATCTTGTTGCTGTTGCAACTTGTGGCCTTGCTCTGGCGGCATCCGTGGGGGAAGAAGTGGCAGCAACAGCAGTGTAGCGTATTCTTCATTGTGGGTGTGATGGCAGATTGTGCAAAGGGGGGGAGTTGCTGACCTTGTTATCGTGCATTTCTCACTTAGTGCTCGCAATGCGCAACTAATCTTTGCCTTCGTATCATACTCACTTCTGCAGCTTCTAAGTGGCTCCTCGGTCTTTTTCTTCCTTCCTTGTCCCATCCATTGCTGTCCCGATGGCAGCTTCTCCTCATACGGTAAGTGGCTCTTCTATGGTGAAGTGCAGGGCGAGGGAGAGGAGAGGACATGTGGGATGGGGTGCCGCGTGTTGGTGGGTGGACTCCCAAGAGCTCAAGATAGGCTATTCCCTGTTCTTTTCTCTGCTTTGGTTTGCTTATCTGTGCTTAGGCGTGCCAAGGTTTGCTTAGGTGTGTTGTGCTGGGATGGGTCTGCATGTTGTACCGTATAATAGATGGGTGGGGTGGGCAGCCTAGGAGGTGCCTGGGCTGGGCACAAACACCCAAGCAGGACGGAGTGTCCTGCATGTGCTGTGCCGTGCCAGGCACTCCGTGCAGTGGTGAGGAGAACGTGGAGGAGAACGTGGAAATGCAGGGCACTGAAACACGCCCTGCATCCAGCATGCATGCACATACGGAAAAGCCCACCACCAAGAAGCCATGAGACAGGCGTACCCCTCTCACACAGAAGTGTGGATGGTAGGGAGGGACTGACAGGAAGCAGGGTTACCACGGTTTGCACAGGAACTGCAGTACAGGAATGGTCAGATGTCTCTGCCACCAAGCAAACAATCATCCAATCAAACAAGCAGCCAATTAGCCAACCAATCAACAAGCCAAGCAGCCAACTATTAGCCATCCAAGCAACCAACACCCCAGCCAAACAGCCTATCCCAGATCCTTGCATCCTGACTCAAGCTTCAGCATGGCATCTCTGCACTGAGTTCTGGATTCGAGTACACACTCCATGATGGCCCGTGACTGCAATTGCACCTACCTACAGCTCGTGGTGTGTAAGGTACACATAATCGCACAGGACCAGCTCCTTCTGCTCCTTACCGTATTCCCCCGGATAAAACACCCGGGGGTATTATGATAACCACTAGGAAAAAATGGGGGAGGGTCTCCTCAACGGAAAATCCTATATACTACCCGGGTCTATTCGTATGACATTTTTTAACATAAGGATTCTGAAAAATGGACAGCTTCGGTGTTTTCGAAGTTGGTTAACCAGCACACTCAGAGGCGGGAACGCGAGTTTCGGCACATGATATCTTGACCACCTTGGAGATGGCATGTGGCACCTCTTTGGCCACTTGACCACGAAAGATTCGCCAGCCTCTCGACAGCGAAATTGTGGGAGGGGGGGAATCTCGGCAGATATCATTTGAAAGTTCCGTGTAATTTCGTAGAGGGAGGGATTTTCGTGTCCTCCCATACTTGCACGCACTCGTTATCAGCTATTATTATAACAAATCTATATGAAAAGGGGGGTGTTATGGAGAATCACCCAAAAGGGGGGGTATAGTACTAACGCGGTCAAATATATCACCCACCCCGCACAAGCTACCCGGGGGTGTACAATTCGGGGTGGGTGTTTTATCCGGGGGGAATACGGTATTCCACCTTCAGCAAACTGGCTTGGCAAGCAAATACACACAGCAAGCATTTTGCAGGCGGAAACACCACCGGGAAGATTGCAACAATGTTCTCGAGGATTTTTGTTTGACACTTTCACACTTGCCTTTCGCCAGCTTGCACTGTTTTTGCACTTCAGATGTGAAAACAAGCCCTGGTGGGGCGAAGTTCAAGAAGAATCAGCAGTTCCAAACTGGGCGCTTTTTGAAATCAACCTTCTCAGCTCAATCAACTTGCAGCCGTAAAATAACGTATTTCGGGAAACTCTCACACCTGTCAAGAATCGCGTTGTCTCCTATCTCCGTTGTGACCTTGCGACCGAGTGTGAACGCCGCAGTAGTTAGCTGTGCCTCACCGTCCTCCCTTAATTCTCGCTTCCATAGAACCGCATAACTCATAACCTCGCGGTATTTTGTTGATTATTACCTGCCATGTCAGACTCCGAGGACGATTTCGAGCAAGAGCTTCTCCAGGCCGTGGGTCGCGCCGGCAGAAGCGGCGGCAGAAGCGGCGGGGGAGACGGCGGAAGGAAAGGCGGAGGCGGGGGAGGGAACAGGCGGAGCAGCAAAGGCGGTCGCAGCCGTCGATCTGGATTCCGTAGCTCGAGCAGCAGCGAAGATCAGCCGTCGGATAACGAGGATGACGATGACGAGTATGAGGATATCGAGGAGCGGGAGCGCACAAGAGGCGCGCGGGGTACCGCCGGTGCGGAAGGGAAAGCGGATACCCGCAGCCGCGGCAACGTGAGCCCTCCGCGGGGAAGTGGCATCCGCAGCGGTGGCGGCGGCGGAGGCGGCGGCAGCCGCGGAGGGGGAAGGGGAAGCGGGTCGGACGAGGATAGAAGGGCGCGCAGGAGCGGCGGGGGGGATGGGGATTCGGAAAGCAGCGGTTTGTCGTTTGGTAGCGATTTGTACAAGGACGACGACGATCGCGAACGGTTACAGGCGATGAACGAAATCGATCGCGAGCAGATTCTGTTCGAGCGCGACGAGAGGCGACGAAATCACCTGGACAAACGGGAGCTTCGCAAGAAGCTTCGCCAGCAGCAGAAGCTGCATCCGCAGCAGCAGCAGTCGTTTCAGCGCACCCAGGAGCGCACGCCGCGCGCATCCGCGCGAGAGCCCGCTGCTTCCCCCGCAGCCCCGCCGCCGGCGGCCGCGGCGGCGGCGACCACGCCAGAACCGGCGGCGCGTGGAGCGCCAGCATCAGGATCCGCTCCGGGGTCGGCGGGGGGGCCGTCGTACACGCCACCGGGATCGGCGGTGGCGCGCGCGCGCGGGTTCGGCGGCGTGGAGCGGAGCCGCAAGGAGGACGCGCTGCAGCAGCTGGAGGCGAAGAAGGCGGCGAAGCAGCAGCGGCGGAACGATCTCGACGCAGATAAGGGCGGGGATAGGGATGCTTCAGACGACGGAGGAAGCGAAGATGCTTCCCGCCGCAAGCCGCCCGCGCCCGCAGATGCGAAACCTCCCGCTTCCGCTCGCTCCCGCTCCCGCTCCCGCTCCCGCTCGCAATCCCGTTCGCGATCCCGTTCCCGCAGCAGCAGCAGGGGCAGGGGGAGGGGCCGGGGGCGGGGCAGGGGGAGCGACAGCGACGCGAGCAGCAGCAGCCGCAGCAGCAGAGGCCGCCGGCGGCGCAGCCGCAGCCGCAGCAGCGCGAGCTCTGATCGCAGCAGCAGCAGCAGGAGCAGCCGCGGGAGGAGCAGCAGCCGCAGCAGCCGCGGCAGCAGCAGCGACAGCGACAGGGGCAGCACGAGCAGCAGCGACGGGGGCCGAGGGGGGAGGGACGGGGGGCGGAAGCGCGGAGGCGACCAGTCTAGATTCGCTGAACCGGATGATTTGGCGCAGATTGTGGTGACGCGGTCGAAGCTCTCTGCGTGGTGCATGGAGCCATACTTTGAGTCGCTGGTGTGCGGGTGCTTTGTGCGGCTGGGCATTGGCATGAACCCCCACGGTCAGCCTGTGTACCGCATCTGCGAAGTGGTGGCGGTGGATGCCAAAGATCCCTCTAAGCAGGTATGTTACTCCTTCTTTCTCACTCTGCTCTGTTCCCTCGTGCCCTCCACCTTCCCTTTGTGCCCCACGTAGCGCCAGTGCAAGTTCGAGGGGCGCATGACATTACATGCGAGTTTCACGACGGGCCACAGCTGTTCAAGTCCCCCATTTGTACCCCGCTTTCCCCTCTCTGCGGCTCTGCCCCCCGCTCATCGCCACCAGTACAAGTTTGAGGGGCGCATGACGTGCAAGTTCCTGGACTGCAAGTGTAGTCTCATGCTGCTCCGCCTTGCTCATTTCCCTTTCTAGTGCGCCACTCCCGCCCTCGTGCCCATCTCACAACCCTCCAGTACAAGTTCGAGGGGCGCATGACGTGCAAGTTCCTAGACTGCAACTGTAGTCTCGTGCTGCTCTGCCCTAGTGGGAGAGGCTCATTTCCCCTCCTTGTGCGCCTCTCCCACCCTCCTGCCCCCCTCCCATCCCACCAGTACAAGTTCGAGGGGCGCATGACGTGCAAGTTCCTGGACTGCAAGTGGGGCGAGCACAGGGCGCGCTGGCAGATGGCACGAGTCTCAGACAAGCCCGCCACCACTCAGGAGATCCTGCAGCTGTTTCGGGAGATCGAGCGCGCGCACTTGCACAGGTAAAACTGGTGGAGGTGGTACGAGGGCATGTGTTGTGTACTCCGCTGGGGTGGTTAGTAGAATGCTGCGCCAACCCTCCCCACACCCCCTTCCAACCTCCCCCCCGTTCCTCTCTCTTCCCAACCTCACCCCTCCTTAGAGTGACCAAAGCAGCCGTTCAAGAGAAGAAGGCGGAGTTGGAGTCGGTGAGGGGGTATGTGTACTCCGCTGAGGTGGTGGCGAGCATGCTAAGAGAGAAGCCCCTTTCTCCGCTTCACCCTGCCAACCCTCCCCCCTAATCCCCCCACCCCTCCAGGGTTACCAAGGCAGCGGTGCAGGAGAAGAAGGCGGAGGTGGAGTCGGTGAGAGGGTATGTGTACTCAGCTGAGGTGGTGGCCAGCATGCTAAGGGAGAAGCCCCTCCCTCTGCTTCACCCCACCACCACACATCCGCTTCACCTGCCAACCCCCTCACCCCCCCACCCTCCTCCCCAGGGTGACTAAGGCAGCGGTGCAGGAGAAGAAAGCGGAGTTGGAGTCGGTGAGGGGGTATGTGTACTCGGCAGAGGTGGTGGCCAGCATGCTAAGGGAGAAGCGAGCAGCAGCGGCACGGCCGAAGCTGGTGGTGATGGAGAGGGAGAGGGTGCGGCTTGATATAGCCGCTGCTGAGCAGAGAGGGGACCTGGGAGCCGTCGAGCAACTCAAGGCGGAGGTGAGGGGGAGGGGGAATGGGGGAAGGGAAAGGGGGGAATGGGGGAAGGGAAATGGGGGGGAGAAGGTGCGTTTCGAGATGTCTGCTCCGTTTGCATACCCTCTTCTTCCACGATCCATCATGCATTAATGTTACCCGTGCTACTGCAATGTGCATCACCGTCACATGTGTTGCTCGGTTACCATTGCCACCACCCACCCCACGCATGGCATCAGCTGGAGAAGTCGGATAGGGGAGAACAAGGGCACGGCACTTTTGAGCAATCTCAAAAGTGATTCCAATATTTACCTTTACCCCTCCCCACGCATGCCACCAGCTGGAGAAGCTGGAGAGGATAGGGGAGGACAAGGGCGAGGCGAACAAGGGCAGGCGAGAGGTGGACCTGGCTAGGATGAACAAGCGCAACCGGCAGGAGAACTTCCGCACTGCTACCAACGCCCCTGCTGGCGCCACAGGTAGGTTGTGGTGTGCACAGGTGTGTGTGGTGGCGCTCCGCTTGCCTGCCCCACGTCATCAAAGAGGCCCCTGGTCATCACAGTTACTTTGCACTGCAGCAGCTGTGGATAGAATGACGCCACACACCAATGGTGCTCGGTCGTTCATGATTCACCACTGAATGCGCTCTCACAGCAACCACAAGATCCTTACTGCCCCCACTGCTGCCTTTGCAGCCACCACTGCTGCACCCTTGTATTCTCAGTATGTCAACCGTCTCTCCACCTGCACCTCCTTCAACAGAGAGCAAGACAGGCGAGGCGTCTGTTGGTTCTTTCATTGTCCGGTGGACCCCTCTCATAATACCACAAGAACCCTGCCAACTCTACGAGTCCGTCCATGACCGCCACCACCAACACCACTGCTGCTGCAACCTTGTTTTCTCAGTCCGTCATCCGTCCATCCTCCCCTGCCCCCTGACCAGAGAGCAAGACAGGAGAGGCGGCTGTGGATCCCTTTATTCGGCGATGGACACGCTCCCAAAACTACTACAAGAGCCCCGCCTCCAAGTCCGCTGCTGCTGCACCCTGGTCTGACGACGAGGAGGAGGGCGCAGGCAAGGACGGGGGAGGGAAGAGCAAGGATGGGAAGGGGAAAGATGGTAAGGGCGAGAAGGGGAAGGATGGGAAGGAGAAGGATGGGAAGGGTGGAGGAGCGGAGGAGGAGGAGAGGGAGAAGGAGCGGGAGAGGGAGAGGGAGAGGCAGCTGGGGAGCTGGTTGGGGCAGCAGTTGGACGAGCGGGCGAAGCAGGTGCTGCGGAAACATGCCTTTGACATGGACATAGACCTGAGCGTCGTGGACAAGTGGGGGGGAGCAGGGGCAGCGGCTGCAGCGCAGAGGGGGAGTGTGGGGCCAGCGGTGTGGGAGGCAGCGTTTTTGGCACGGAAGCGGCAGCAGGAGGCGCTGTATGGGGCTCCGATTGGCGTGGCTGCTGGGGAGACCCCGAGGGGGCTCAGGCTGTTGACTCTTAGTGAGTATAAGAGACGCCGGGGGCTGCCTTGTGACTGAAGTGAACAAGGATTGGTGGTGAGAAGTGTTTGGGTGTTGGTGAAGGGGCTTAGGGGATGCCAGGTAGTAGCTACACTGGGCTCGATCTGCAGCACAGTTTAGGTGAGTTGGTGAGAGGTGCAGTGCAGATTTCTTGACAGTTGGTCGGGATGGGAGCTAGGAGATGTTTTGCACCGGATGTTCGCTTGAAGTTGTCCATATCAACCAGAGTCGGCCTTTTGGCAGTACGCTGCTGCCCCTGAATCATGACTCGGTTACTTCTGCGCCACAGCAGGCACAGATTGGCTTCCATGATGCCATCTCGAGCCCTCGTTGCTCCAGTGCTTAGGCATGCTTCTCTTTCAACAAAGATGTGAAGTTTCTTATTGAAGAAAAGACTTCTAAAAAACTCAAGCTGCACTTTGAATGAAAGCAGGCAGTGCTCAAGTGTTCCTACTCAAATGTCCGTATTGTTTTAAGGTCTTGAAGCATGGCTTCTATCTGGTCATCATCAATCATTGGCTCCCTGCAATCCATCTGCAGAGACATAAGCGGGGTGAGGTAGTTAGTGAGTGCGTTCCCTTTCACAATTACCTGTCACTGTTTGGTGTCTAGGATTAGTGATGAACAAGGCCTGGAAAAGGCCTGAGCAATGAACATACAGCTAGAGAAGGCACAAGAGACTTGGCCTCATCCACAGTGTCAGGTGCCAGGTTGCCTATCACACACACCTGCACAGACACAATGCAGCACATGTGATTAACCCATTGTGGAAGGAGCAACAGGCAAGGATGTACACCTGTCTTCATAGAAAATGGTAAAGCATTGGAAGAGTAAGTATGAAGGTGGGGAGAGAGGGAGGTTGAGGAATACCAGGCGGATGCAGCACTCACTTCAAATTCATGCAGCTTGCCTTTGCCAGCCAATGCCCTGCCACATCATGACATCAACCCACGGTGTGATGTCAACCCATAATATGACAGCATTGCATGCTGAAACCGAGCGGGACATGGATTCTTGTGCACTGGTGGACTTACTCCCTGACTTGCTTCACCGCTTGAGGGTTCTGATACCGGCTGAACCGTTTCACGTACTGTAGTGACTTCTCCAGCACCCTGCAAGCAGATTGTATTTATTATTATGACTATTGTAGTACTGAAGGCTTCAAAGCGTCTGAGAGACCCTAACGCCATAATTCGGGCTGCAGCCATGACAGGGAGAGGAAAGCTCATGCAAGCTCTGATCAGGGACTTACGAATTGAGCTGTAGCATGGGATCAACGTTGTTTTCCCTGAGACTCTCGAGCTTCTTATCGAGAATGAGAGCCACCTCCGCGTTCATGAGACACTTGGCTCGAATGAACTCTGACACATCGAGGGAAATCAAGATTCGCGAAGCGGTAGGTTCACAGATACGAAAGGGAAGATGGTGCTAGGGTTAGCTGCGAAGGTGTCATGCTGGAGACGATAGAAAACGATGCGCCATGATGGAGCTACTAGGCTAGGTAATGGTGTGAGACCTGATCCGAGCTTCAATTGACCTGCGTCTTCCTCCTCCGCGACGTTCTCGGACGCCATGCTGCGATGGACGAGCGGCGGCAAGGTGGTGTATTAATTTTCCGAAGAACACTTCCACGAGTTTTAATTACTATATAGCAATAGAATCTCACTCAAGTCACGCAGACATGCTAGTTTACGTGAGTTCAGACACAGCTGGCCGAGGGCGTATTTGACTAGAGCAGCGAATGAATGCTCGAGCAAGCAAGACTCCTTGGAAGAAATCGATGCTGCATTACTGGACAAAATACCCCCTTTACAAGCGGTACAGCACATGTTTCGGTAAAGGCCTCGACAAAATATACGGTTGTGCAATATACAGTTTCGACAAATGAAATCATAGTGAGCCCCCCCTTCTGTTCCAGTCCATCCTTGGTCCTCGAGATCTCCAATTCCTTATCCTCCATAACCGCAGATACAATTCCTGGTCCTATCTGCCATTCCACATTTTAGCTCTGGGCTTAGCCGGCAGGGAGGTGCAAGTCCGAGGACGGGCCAGGTTTTTGCCAGGAAGACTTCACCTTTTTCTCGCGATTTTTGCTAGCTCTGCGTGATTGTCCGGATCTGAGTCGGAAATCCATATCTTCGTGGTTTCGTGTGGGCAAGCCTTAGATTTCCGACATGGCTCCAGCCAAGGCTGCTGGAGCTGCGGGATCCACTCCCGCTGCTCCCAAGTCTGCGACGGCGGAGTTATTAGATACTCTGGAGGAGAAATTTCGGCTCACGACGAAGCAGCAGGAGCTCCTGATCCGCGTCGCGACCCTTCTGCTAATCTACATCCTCGCATTCGCGACTCGACTCTTCTCCGTGCTCCGTTACGAGAGCGTGATTCACGAGTTCGATCCCTATTTCAACTACCGGACCACGCTGTACCTCACCCGTAAGGGATTTTACGAATTCTGGAACTGGTTCGACCACGAGACATGGTACCCGCTGGGTCGCATTATCGGATTCACTCTCTACCCTGGTCTCATGGTGACGTCAGCGCTTATCTACTGGGCTCTCCACGCGCTCTCATTGGTGGTTCACATCCGTGACGTGTGCGTGATGACTGCTCCGTTCTTCGCGGCCAACACCGCCATGGTCGCGTATTTCTTCGGAAAGGAGATCCGCGATTCGGGAACCGGCCTTATCGCAGCGATCTTCTTGGCCATCTGCCCGGGTTACATTTCGCGATCCGTCGCGGGATCGTACGATTATGAGTGCATCGCCATTTTCGCGATGATCCTCACGTTCTTCCTGTTCGTGAAGGCCGTTAACACCGGCTCTCTCGCGTGGGCTGCCGGCGCCGCGCTCACTTACTTCTACATGGCATCATCATGGGGAGGCTACATCTTTATTATCAATCTGATTCCGATCTACGTCGTGGTGCTGCTGATTACGGGACGCTACACCCCTCGGCTTTATATCGCGTACAACGCGTTTTACATCATCGGAATGCTGCTGGCGATGCAGATCCGCTTCATCGGCTTCCAGCACGTGCAGTCCAGCGAGCACATGGCGGCTCTCGGCACCTTCTGCCTCATCCAGGTAGGCACCTAGCGGTATTCTGGTTTTTCAATTAGCGGAATTCTTACCTTCTGCCTCATCCAGGTACGCACTTGCGGATTCTCCGCTAGGCACTTATCGGGCTTTTTGCCATTTTGCCTCATCCAGGCAGGCACTTCTCGAATTTCGGTTCATTCTGTTGCATTAAGATAGGCAGTTGGCGAATTTCGGCGCATTTTGTTGATTTGAGGTAGGCAGTTTAGCGGATTCATGGCACATTCGCCTTCATCCAGGTAGGCAGTTAGTGGAATTCTGCACGGTTTGTCACATTCCGCTAGGCACTTCGCCGGTAAAAATCATGCCATTGCTAGCAGCCCCATTTCGTTTGCGCCACTCCATGGCATTGCAGCACTCACACTCACAAAAAACAGCAGTAATGCAATCAACACCATTTCGCGTCGTGCCGTCCTGTCCCGTCCCGTTCGCGTTCCTTCCCCTTCCGTCCCGTGTGTCCGCTCCGCCCGCAGGTGTTTTTCTTCGTGGACTGGGTGAAGCACCAGCTGGCAGACCCGAAGCTCTTCCGCACCTTCCTGCGCGTCGTCGTCTTCTCTTTCGGTGGCATCGGCTCCCTCGCTTTCGCCGTCGGCATGGCCACCGGTGAGATGTGATACGCTGATGGCTTGGCACTAAATGTCCTTTATGTAGAGAGTATAACCGTCCCTCCCATGGAAAAGTAGCCTGGAGCGCGGGGAGAGGTGGGTTGGAAGAGGGGAGGGGGGGAGAGGAGCGAGGGAGAAAGGAGAGAGGGGATAGTGGGAGTGGGATGAGGGAAGTGTGGGAGAGGGGAGACGGGGAAGGCGGGGGAGGAGGAAAACGGCGCGATAGAGGAACAACGAGAGCAATGAAAGGGGGTACGAGAGAGAGCGATGAGGCGGTTAAACGGAGCGCAGACAGGCGTAACGGGAATTAGAAGGGCCAGATGGGTGTGAAAGGCCATTAGAAGGAGGTCAGATGGGTGTGAGAGGTGATTAGGAAATGGGATGTGCGTCACTGAAGTGGATGCGGACCACTCTCCTCTTCCCCCCTCTCGCACGCCCGCTTTCCCCTCGCCTCCCAGGCTACATATCGCCGTGGGCGGGGCGGTTCTACTCGTTGCTAGACCCCACGTACGCCAAGTACCACATCCCCATCATCGCCTCTGTGTGTCCTTCCGTGTCCCTCCCTTCCTTCTCTCCCATCTCGTCTTTCCCTTGCCTGCGCTCCCCCCTGCGCGCCAGGCTACATCTCCCCGTGGACGGGGCGGTTCTACTCGCTGCTGGACCCCACGTACGCCAAGGACCACATCCCCATCATCGCCTCCGTGTGTCCTTCCGTGTCCCTCCCTTCCTTCTCTCCCATCTCGTCTTTCCCTTGCCCGCGCTCCCCCCCTTGCGCCAGGCTACATCTCCCCCTGGACGGGGCGGTTCTACTCGCTGCTGGACCCCACGTACGCCAAGGACCACATCCCCATCATCGCGTCCGTGTCAGAGCACCAGCCCACCGCCTGGTCCTCCTTCTTCTTCGACTTCCACATCCTCCTCATCCTCTTCCCCGCTGGTTTGTGCCGCCCTTCCCCCACTCATACTTCCCTTCATCCTTGTACCTGCCAATCGTTGCCGCTCTTCCTTCCCCTCTCCCGCGTCACATATCACGAATGATATTGTAGTCCTCTTTATGCACTCCCCTCCCGTCCCCTCTCCCTGGCCCCTCTTCATCTCCCCCCTCGCTACCTCCGCCCGCTCTTGCTTTGCTCTGTAGTCCATGCCTTCCCCTGTGTGCCAAAACCCCCCATGTACCAACGCCCGACGTGTCAATTCCGTCCCCATTCCGTTTCCCCCCCTGTGCCAGCTCTCCCCACCCCACGTGTCAACCCCTTCCCTCGTGCCAACCCCCACCATGACATCCTGGCGCATGCCAATGCCCCATGTACCAACCCCTTTGCCGCCGCTCTTTGAGGCGCCTCAAAAACCCACCATGACATCCTGGCGCATGCCAATGCCCCATGTACCAACCCCTCTGCCGCCGCCTGAATGAGCACAGGGCTCTACTTCTGCTTCAAGCGCCTCATCGACGCGTCCATGTTTGTGATCATCTATGACCTCACAGCCATGCACTTCATTTGACACTCCTCAAACACCACCTTCTGCGTGTATACATTTGCTTGTGTGCGTGCGTGCGTGCAGGGCTCTACTTCTGCTTCAAGCGCCTGAATGACGCGTCAATGTTTGTGATCATCTACGGGCTGACAGCCATGTACTTCGCGGGCGTCATGGTGCGCCTCATCCTCGTCGCCACGCCCGCCCTCTGCCTCCTCGGTGCCGTCGCTGTCAGCGCTTCCCTCTCCCGCCTCTCCGCCATCGCCCGCGAGAAGACCCCCGAGCCTGCTGCTGCTGCTGCAACCACCTCTGCGAAGCTGTCTGGGAAGGCCAAGGACAAGCTGAAGGTGAGTGGATGCATGTAATAAAGGCTAGGCTAAGGAATGTGGCTATTGCACGCCCCCCCGCTATCAGCGCCTCCCTCTCCCGCCTCTCCGCCATCGCACGCGAGAAGACCCCCGAGCCTGCTGCAAGTGCTCCTGCTGCTTCCGGGGTGAATTTTGAGTCGACTCAAAAGTCACCTCTCCTGCAAGTGCTCCTGCCGCTTCCGGCGCTGGGAAGCTTTCTGGGAAGGCCAAGGACAAGCTGAAGGTGAGTGGAGATGCGTGGAATGGAAGGAACACTGGGCTTGCCATGTGTCTGTCTGTCGCTGCTCTTGCTTCTTGTATTCATGTGACTTACCCTTTTCTCCCCCCCCCTTTTTTTTTGAGTCTCAACCGCTGCTTCTCCCCCTCCGCTCGCGCCCGCCCTCTGCCGGTCACAGGGTGCGCAGGACAGCTCGCTGCCGTACCAGAAGGAGGGCGCGGTGGTGCTTATAGCGGGAATATTCTTCTGCCTGATCAACTTCGCGCGGCACTGCACGTGGGTGACGTCGGAGGCATACTCATCGCCGTCCATTGTGCTCATGGCCCGCCAGCACAACGGCGACCGCGTCATCTTTGATGACTTCCGTGAGGCCTACTTCTGGCTCAAGCACAACACCAAGCCCGATGCTAAGGTGCGTGGGTGGGTGGATAGCTGGGGCGCTGGGTAAGGGGTTGAGTGGGTGGGAGTGATTGCTGAGGTGTTTCAAAGGTCATCTTTGATGACTTCAGTGAGGCTTGCTTCTGGCTCAAACACAACACCAAGCCCGACGCCAAGGTGCGTGTGTGTGATTGTTGTTGGGGTGCTATGGGTGTTATGTGCCGAGTAAAACGTCCCTCCTCCCCGCTCCGCCTCCTCATCCCCCTCCTCCGCCCCCTTCCCTGCAGGTGATGTCATGGTGGGACTACGGGTATCAGATCACGGCGATGGCGAACCGCACAGTCATCGTGGACAACAACACGTGGAACAACACGCACATTGCCACTGTGGGGCGCGCCATGGCCTCGTACGAGGAGCAGGCGTATGGCATCATGCAGCAGCTGGACGTGGATTACGTGCTCGTGGTGTTCGGTGGGGTTACAGGGTACTCGTCCGATGATATCAACAAGTGAGTGGGCTCTGCGTTGCTGTGTGTTCTGTTGGGTGCGGCTTGCCATGCCATGGTGTGCGCTCGTGCTTTCGTACGAGGAGCAGGCATATGGCATCATGCAGCAGCTGGGCGTCGATTACGTGCTCGTGGTGTTCGGACCACACCTCCGACACACCTCCGCCACACCTCCGCCACACCTCCGCCACACCTCTGCCACTCTGCCACACCTCCGCCACACCTCCGCCACTCTGCCACACCTCCGCCACACCTCTTAGGGTTTATTTTCCCTGGACATCAGCTCATTCCTTCCCTCCCTCCCCCCTCTCCTCCTTTTCCCCCCTCTCCTCCTTTTCCCCCCTCTCCTTTTCCCCCCTCTCCTCCTTTTCCCCCCTCTCCTTTTCCCCCCTCTCCCTTTTCCCCCTCTCCTCACGCCCCACTCCTCGCAGGTTCCTGTGGATGGTGCGCATTGGGGGCGGTGTGTTCCCGGACATAAAGGAGCCCGACTATCTCAACAACGGGGGCTATCGCACTGACGCCAATGGCTCGCCCAAGATGCTCAACTGCCTCATGTGAGTGCTGGGGCATTAAGACCATGTGTGAGGCTGCCTGCCTCTTGTGAGAATTGAGTCATTGTTCCGAAACACTCTCACCTTAGCGTGCGCCACTGAACACCATGTGCCACATGCGCCAAGTGTCCTGTCCCAAGGTCATGACTCCTCACTGTGTTGTTATTACGTCCACCTCATTACCCCTTTCATTGTCCTGTGAAACTCGTCCGGCCCTTATTCTGCTGCTCGAGCGCACTCCTGCTGATCTGTCACACGGCTGCTAATGAGTCTCTCTGTCATGTCATGTTCCATGTCGCCCATGTGCTGCATTGGGGATGGGTGTGGGTGCGGTGCTGCATGGTGCGTCGCGTGGGTGTTGACTGTGCATGTGTGTCACTACAGGTACAAGATGTGCTACTACCGCTTTGGCGAGCTGCAAACGGAATATGGCAAGCCAACTGGGTGAGTGAGAGGGCAGGCAGGGCAAGGGTGTCATTGAGGAGGTAGCACGAAATCTCTGCTGCTTCAACCTCCGCAACATCTGCACTTGAAAGCGCATGAATGGGGACCCTAAACCTTCAGATTGCCATGCGCTGTGACCAAAACTTCCTTCCACCTTCCCTCCCCCACTTCATCCCCACGAGTAGGTGGGACCGGGCATGTGGGTACGAGATAGGCAACAAGGACATAGAGCTGGAGTACATAGAGGAAGCATTCACCCTTCCTTCACCTCACCGCCCTCTCCCCTCTGACTTTCTCCCTTCCTTCACCTTGCGCAGGTGGGACCGTGCGCGGGGGTGCGAGACAGGCAACAAGGACGTAGAGCTGGAATACATAGAGGAGGCGTTCACCTCAGAAGGACATGAGCTGGAGTATCTAGAGGAGGCACTAAGTCTGCCCACTGGCCCTCCTCTCACCACCCTCTCCCCTCTGACTTTCCCCATTTCTTCACCTTGCGCAGCTGGGACCGGGCACGTGGGTACGAGATAGGCAACAAGGACATCGAGCTGGAGTATATAGAGGAGGCGTTCACGTCGGCCAACTGGATCGTGCGCATCTACCGTGTCAAGCAGCCCGACAACCGCTGGTAGCACAGCCTTGCACGCCCACGCACGCCCTGCTGGGGCCGCTGGGAGGGACAGCAGCAAGAGCAAAGGAACAGGGGCCAGCAGCAGAGCAGGGGATGTGTGGTGGCAGGCGCAGGGACCAGGTGGTGACCCGTCACTGGGATAGCTTTCATGCCCGTCTTTCTGGTTCTCTGCATATCAGAGAAGCAGTGTGTTGCATCTTGTTGGATCGAGTCGTGACGTGTTGTTGCATGTGTTATCTTCTGCTCAACACCTGGCTGGCAGGGCAGCATTGTGTTGCTATTGGGTGGTCTTCCAGTTTTGCACCCTTGCCCGTGTTGAGAGAGTAATTTGATCATACTAGTGCACTGTGCAATGTGTCACGTGAAAGCTCTTTCAGATCCAGTTGTCTATGGAGAAACTGCCTAAGCAATGGGAGGAATTACAGTGGGCAGCATTCACCTCCCCAGCTTGACCTTACGCCCCTCCGCTTCATCCTTTGGCCTTTCAACTTTCACCCTGTGCTGCTCCCCCTGCTGAACAACTCATGCTTTCTGCTTCTCCTACTAGTCCTTCTGCCTCTTCTGTCTGTCCTTGTGCTTGCTGCAAGCGACTGGAAATGGCGAGAGCAAGGGCATAGGCCTGCTTGCGCTTCACTCGCAAAGCTTCTGCAGCCATCCTCGCAGCCTGCACAGGGGTAGGGGCACGAGCAGGTCCATGTATGGCCCGGGAGCAACCAAACACCAGCAGCACACCACAAAGAATGGGAGCGGCGGTTAGGATGGGCGTGATTGAAGAGTGCGGTTTCGCAGCATTGGAATGGAATCCTGCAGAATAGGGTCAAGCTGCCACAAAGAACAGCCTTTTGAGGCGCCTCAAAAGAATAGGGTGAAGCTGCCTCTCAAGAACAGCCTGTGAACTAACCTGGGAGGGGGGTGTGCCATCCTGAATCAGCTTCTCAAGGTAAGCTGTCACCTCTTCCTCCCCTGTCTGCTGTGATGCATCCAGGTCTCTTCTGGGCAGGCCGTCAATTACCAGGGTGAATTCCCCTTTTGGCCCACGAGCCGTGAACTCCACAAGTGCTTCAGAGAGCGTCCCTCGCCACAGCTGAACAAGAGAGTGGACAAGCGGGATATTGCAGGCAGGATTCAGCGAAAGACAAACAGAACAGATTGTCTTCAAGACAGTGTGTTTGAATGGATGAAAGAACGATATGAGAATGGGGGTAAAAGAAGGAGAATCACGGAGCACAAACTCCATACACTAATATAAGTGCCTATTTTTCAAGAATCACCGAACCTCTTCGTGCAGCTTGGTAAGCTCCCGAGCCACGAGGCACGGGCGGTCCGGGCCAAAGGCGTGGATGCAGTGGGAGAGCGAGGAGAGCAGCTTGTGCGGCGCCACAAACACCACCTGCATCGCCTCCCCCTCCGCTGCTTCCCGCAGCCGACGCTGCCGCACTGCCGACCGCTCTGGGAGGAACCCCACTGTGGGGCGTGGATATCCGGAAAGGGGGTGTAGCGGGGGAGGGGATGGGGAGAAGGGGGGAAGTGGGAGGAGGGGAGGAGGGTGGGAACGGGTGCAGATGTGACCGAGGAGGTTTGACAATGGGAGCGAGGAGAGCAGCTTGTGAGGCGCCACAAACACCACCTGCATTGCCTCCCTCCGCGCTGCCTCCTGCAGCCGACGCTGCCTCACGGCCGACCGCTCTGGAAGGAAGCCCACTGGATGGGCAAGGCAATGAAGTAGGGGGCATGGAAATGGGAGGAGAGCAGCTTGTGCGATGCCAAAGTGCTGAAAAATAATACTTTTGAGACGTCTTGGAAGGCAGCTTGTGCGATGCCTAAGTGTGCTGCAACGCTAAGAGACAAAGCAGAGCATGGCAGCGGAACACGGGGATCATATCACCCACATGAGCCTTGTCACGCACAGAAAGTGAAGCCGTTGGTGAGAAAGCCAGCTGCCGCAACCGCAGTGGTGCCAGCAGACGGGCCGGGAAGAGAAGAGAATAGCAGAACAGAGCACAGCACCGCACAGCACCACACAGAAGAGCAAGGAGAATACCCATATCACCCTCGAGACGCACAGAAGGTGAAGCCGTTGGTGAGAAAGCCAGCAGCCGCAACCGCACTGGTGGCAGCAGACGGGCCGGGGATCACGCTGACTGGGACTGCTGACTCAGCGCACGCGGCGACCAAGTCAGCACCGGGGTCGCTGACGCCCGGCATGCCTGCGTCAGACACGAGGGCGAGTGATTGGCCAGATCGCATTCGACCAATGAGAGCCTCTCGGCGAGCCGTGGCATTGAAGGCATGATAGCTCATCTACACATTGAACAGTACAGATGGACGGGAGGGAGTTATAGCACGTTGGAACGTTGTAACAGGCAGAAGAGGGGAGGAAGGAGGGGAGAGAGGGAAAGAAAGGAGCATCTGTTCTCAGCATGTAGGATCCTGAAACAAGAATACATGAAATAAAATATATATATGATAAATAATAAAATGAGTAAATAAAAGGCAGTGCACCATGGGTGTGGTGATGCCGTAGAAGCGCAGCAGCTTGACGGAGCGGCGCGTGTCCTCTGCTAGAATGAGGTCGGCACAGCGCAGCACCCTCAGCGCCCTGGTGGGTGCAGAGGGATCCGGTGCGGTGGTGTGGGGTGGTGATGGGGGATGGTGGTGTGGGATGGTGGGCACAGCGCTGCACCTGATGGTAACGGCACCCAGCTGATGGTAACCCCACCCACCTGATGGTAACCACACCCACCTGATGGTACCACACCCACCTGATGGTAACCACGCCCACCTGATGGTAACCACGCTCACCTGATGGTAACCACACCCACCTGATGGTAACCCCACCCACCTGATGGTAACCCCACCCACCTGATGGTAACCCCACCCACCTGATGGTAACCACACCCACCTGATGGTAACCGCACCCACCTGATGGTAACATCTTCTAAGTTGCCGATAGGTGTTCCCACCAGATACAGTCCAGGTGCCAATCGCAGCTGCAGGGGTGCGTGATGGTTGAACGGGAGAGAGGGAAGGGGAGTGCGTGGGAGGGGGTACGAAGGGGATGGGGAGGGGAATGGTTAGGTGGGGCAAAAGAGGGCAAGTGCAGAGATTCAGGAGAAGGAGAGGGGGAGTAGTGCTCCTTGGAACGAGAACGAGAGTCCACCGAATTTCAAAGACATGGTGCTCCTTGGAACCACATGGAACCACGTGGGACCACGTGGGACCCCTTGAAATTACACAGGTTCCTACACATGGGTGATACCTTGTCGGGCCATTTGCACATGTCCTCGTTATAGAGCCGTTCGTTTCTGCCTTCTCCGTCCTCTGCTAATACTTCCTTCTCCCCATCTCCTTCCTCCTCGCTGACCCCCCTCAACATCAGCTCCGTGTCGCCTTCCCCCGTGTCGCCTCCACTCGCGTCGCCACCAATTGCGCTGCTCCTCTTGACTTGCGCCCGGTAAATCTCGCCGTCGTAAGCCGTTGTCCCGCCAACCGCGGCAGAATCGGGTCGCGCGATTCCACCAGCCGTTACTCCGCGCTGCGCACATCCCCTGAACTTCCCCTCCAAACCCCCGTAGAGCTCGCGAGTGCACGGAAACGCTATTCTCCGTTGTCCACACGATTTTGCGCTCCATGGCTGCTTCGGATCCCCATCAGGTGAATCCATTCGCCCGTGTTTCCCGGTCACATTTGTGAAGCCTCGAAAACCAAACGAGTTTCGATACGCTGCTTGTTGTATTATTCGCTGGGTGGGGATCGGAGTCACGCTGCGAGTCAGTTTTCCCGCGGCCCTCGAAAACACCAGCCTCCCCGTAGCATGCGCTGCAGCCATGGCACTTCGTCAGTCAACAGTTCAGAAACGTAGATAAGTTGGGGAACGTAACTTGCGGCGGATTTGACGACAACTCGTGGGGTGGTCCTTCGAAATTCGGTGGACTTTCGTTCTCCGCACAATCCGCCATGAAATGCGGCGCGTGTTGTGGGAATGTGGTGTTTTGATGTCCAAGCATTATGCCATTCATGATTTTCAAAGGCCTATGAAATGTGTTTCTGTACGAAACGTGAGAGCCTACAGAAGCGAAACTGAAACCTATGAGACCCGTCAAATTTCATTATCGAGGATGGACCACATTGCCCTGAAAGTCGTGGAGCAACTTGAGGCGCGTATATACAGTACTAGTTCTTCGCCAGGAATCATCGCCAACGCGCGAAGGTTTTGTTGCCGAGCCCCCTCCCACAAATCGGAAGCATGGCCCACGTTCGGTGGCACTGAGATGATTCGTAGACCCGGCACACGTGTCGCAAAGGACCATGATTCGCCGCCACCCATCTCCGGGGCACCGATTCCTATAGTCACTGTTCATGGGGTCCCCGATTTCGCGTGGCATCGGAATTTCGTTGTGCGACTGGAGGAAAAATCGTCGCTTCGTGATCGTGATGCAATGTGAACCGCCTCGCAACCCTTGTATCCGGACCTGGTGACCAGATTCGTGAATGTCGCATGCTGGACACACTCACGCACAGCCCAGCGAGGAGGACGATTCGTCAGGTCCTCGCGAAGTCTCATGATCCATAATCGTGCCGAATTTGGCAGACGAAGCGCGTGTCGCTCAACCACAACCATCCGTCACAACGACTTGTAACAGTCCCGAATTTCACCGCAATTCTGCGCCTCGTAACGCCCTCAACTTCCCCCTCCCCCTACTTGCCCTTGCTTTCGTCATTCGCTCCCGCCATTCAAAAGCCTGAGATGCAAAGACCGCTGCAAGCAAAGCAAGCTAGCCACCATCGGAGTTGTCTTTATCCTAGTAGCTGACTGTAGCGAGGCCAGGAAAGCAAGGACAGCAGCTAAAATCAACCCCAGCCTCTCCAACAGCCCGACAGCATTATTCGTAGTGCTCGCGTCTGCTGTCAGGGAAGGCTGTCGCAGGAAGTTCACTTGAAGCCCTCACTTGCGTAGGAGCGTTTTCGGCTCAGCCCCTCCCTTTTCACTCCGCAACCGTCGACAACTGCAAGCGAAAATGGTGCAGATCAAAGAATTGTAAGAAGCAAGAAGATTATTCGTTGCGAGTCATCTCGCCACTCCAAATCCGATCGCTTCCCAATCTCCTCTTTGCTTTGCGCGACGCGAACTGTGTGAATCTCGTCTGTGCAAGAAAGTACTGCTTTTGTCAGAGTTTGCGTCCGGAACTCTTCAATTCGGTGCTGTTTTCGAAAAATCGTGCAAGAATTATGTCTGACCTGGCTCGTCCGTTCGTTTCTGCCTTTGTTTTATCTTTTGCATGGACCCCGGGTTCCTTCCTCGCGACTATCGACGGTGTCCTCGTCAATGGCAACGGCGCTAACTGTGCGCTCGTCACTCGTCTCTTCTCACTTGTCTCTCGCCCGTTATCGCGCGCTCTATCCTCAGCCGCATCACCATGCCCTTTTCTCTCGACGAGGTAAGCATACGTGGATCAATCAACTCACTCGGCTGTTCCCGTCCCTTCAAACTCAACTTAGACCAGCGAGTGAAGCACATCAGAGCATATTTCTCTCCGTACCCTTACCATCCCGCCTACTCTCCTTTCTCTCATCTTTCCCCGTAACCTCCCTCTCTTTCTCCCTCACATTTCATTATAAATCTTCCAGTATCGCGTGGGGCAGACATACATGCGGTCGCGCATGCAAATGGAGAACACCAAGGGACGCGAGGGCATCGAAGTGATCGCAAGCGAGCCGTTTAAAGACGACGTGTTGGGCGAGGGTCACTTTTCGCACGTCGTCTATCACTTCCAAAGCCGCGCGCCCGCGTGGATCCGCCCGCTCGCTCCGGTCGAGGCGCTGCGGCTCGAAGAAAAGAACTGGAACGCGTTTCCCCGATGCCGCACGGAGATTAGCGTAAGCCTGCAGAGGATGGGTAGGGAGCGGATAAGGGAAAGGGGGACGGGGGAGGGGGACGGGTTAATGGGCGCCGAAAAAACAAAGCGGCTCTAAAAGTAAGACGTGGAGACTTGTGCTCTGCGCTGATTGCCCCTCTACTTGTGCCCCATCTCTGCTGTCCTCTCCACCCGTTACAGTGTCCGTACTTCTCCAACTACAAGATCACCACCGACTCGTTTCACGTCGCAGACCGTGGCGAATCAGAGAACGTGAGTGTCGCACACACTGTCGCAGGGTATTTCGCTTGCCAGGGAAATTTTCAAGTCTGCCAGAAGCTCGCTATGGCTCACATTGAACTTGCCGATGTGGCTGCCAAAGAGCACTGAAACATCTCAGAATGTCCTGCGTATTTCTTTTTTCTTACCTTTGAGTGCGACCTGCGCGCTGACCGTCTTGGTCCTCACCCCCCATTCGTCTTGTTGCATCCCCATCTGCGTCGCCCGCCAGGCGCTGAAGCTGTCGGATGCTGAGCTGGAGCTGCGCAAGGTGGACCACGTGGACATCGCGTCGGCCGACAGGGACATGTGGTCGCGAACCATCGCGCGGAAGCGCACTGACCCCTCCAAGATCGCCCTGCTTAAACTCAACCGCGGCCCGCTCGCGCCCGGATGGCAGGTAAGCGAATTCGCAATTGTGGGTACCCAGCCAGCAGCAGCATTTTGGTCGCAAGTTTTTTTCCTGAATCAATCCTTCGAACCGCGCACACCGCCCTGCTTGGCACGTAATGACTGGTGCGCCTGATCCTCGTCAATTCGCGTTCGTTTCAAGAGTGTTGGCTATTTCGGCCTTGATTCCTCTCCCTGTTTCTGAGTGCAGGAAACGTGTCAGCCTGTAATGACAGTCTACAAGGTGGTACACGTGGATGCGCCCTATTGGGGAATCGGCAGGCAGATGGAGCTCGCCACAATCGCGGTGAGTGCTGTCGCGTGGAGTTCTGCCAACTCTCAAAATCCGTGCTTGTTGCAGCTGTGGCTAATTTCGTTGGCGTCATAAGACTTGCAGGGGTCTCTCCCACTGAAAGCCTGTTCTAACCCTAATGAATCCCCATCCCCCACCCTCCCACCGTTCGCAGGCGCAACGCGCGCTTTATCTGGAGGCGCACAGGAAGTGCTATGGATGGGCGGACGAGTGGTGCTCTCTGACTGTGGCTGATGCACGGCGGATAGAGCAAGAGAATATCGACAAAATGCGAAAGGTGAGGGTGAAGTAACACGTGCTCCAGGCTTGCTGGTGTTAATGAAAAACATGTCCATTCTTCATGTTCACTGACAACCAGAAGGCTCTTATTTCACCACGCTAGCCGTAACTTCGTCCTGTGTGTCCTCATCCTTCCCTTTGCCCACAGAGCCTTTCTTTGAGTGACCGCTTTGATGAAGAAGCTCTTAGCGAGTCAATGGAGGATGCAGAGGAGGGAGAGGAGGAAGAGGAGGAGGAGATGTTCAACTCAGTGGCACCCCTGCCTGCCGTTGCTTCTGTGGCTGCATAATTTTAATCGGACAATAAAGTCTGCACTGCTACAACAGCATTGCCATGACCACTGTACACAGAGATTACCAGCATCGGCTGGGTGGAGACTGCACGAATTTGCTTGCAGTAGGTGCAACACTGAGTAGGTAACTAGGTGGCAGCATGGCACAGCTCACTAGACCATGCACGCTGTCGGCTGAAGGCACTGGCTTGACTAGGAGGACACAGTTGGTGCCATATCTATGTATGGTGTGTATAAATGCACTCTTATGGACCTCCCGTTATTTCCCGTTAGTCCTGACTCCCAAATACCGTATTCAGCACAACGGATGTGCCATTTGAGGTTGGCTTTGTTGGCTTGCTTTGTTAATGTATAGCACTGTTTCAATCCTCCAACAGTGGAACAGATATGGGCAAGTAACACTCGATTCATCTGATTCATCGTATGCTTCTGCGGATGTATGTATTAGCGAAGCTGTTGTTAGTGGTAAGTTGATTGTTGGCTATCTGAACGGCAGAATCAAATTCTAGCATCACTATTCATGAACATCAACCGCTGATTGCGACTACATTCATGATTTCGGCGCGTCGTAACCCAATTGCTGCAGTCGCCGAGAGGTCGCACGACGACACATCCAAGCGTCGTCGCATTTTCCGCAAACATCACGTACTGGTAACAAGGCACTCTCATAAGCACGTCGGAAGCTCTCGCGAAGGCTAGTCGTACGACTTTGCGAATCCAACAGTCGAAGCGCCTCGACAGTCGAAGCGCCTCCCCGTCCCCCCAACCCTTGCTATTCCTCTTCCCCTTCATCTGCCATACAAATAGCGAGATAAGTAGAATCCCATTAGCCCCCATCAACCAAGCAACCCAACAGGTGCTTGCTAGCTACCGTCTTCACAACCCCACCAAGCCGCTTCTGTCACCTTCAAGCCCGACCAAGCCAACCGACACTCATCCCAGCCCTCTTCATCAACAGCAGAAGACGAGAAAGAGCAACGCAAAGCATCGCCTTCTCCTCGGGCATGCTATTACGGATTTCTCGTTTCTGCTGCAAAAAGGTGTCCGTCGAAGGAAGTGTCGACTTGACGGGGAATTCTTGCTAACTTCACCCAGAGACCTTGCGTCAATCTCGCTCGGCTCAGCCCCCTCCGGTTTCGCTCCGCGGCCGTCAACAACTGTTAGCCAGAATGGTGCAGATTAAGGAATTGTAAGATGCAGAATGATTTTTCGAACGCGCTTGTATTGTTCGTTTACCAACGGATTTTCTAACTTGTTCCTCTCGTGCTTGTTTCTTGGTTTGCGTGGTCTGCGGGGTCATCCCTTGCTGCGATATCATTGTGGCGGTACCGACGGCCCTCTGTAATCGTCTCCTCGCCTCTCATCGTCCGGCGCGCGTCGTCCACCTTCAGCCGCATCACCATGCCATTTTCTCTCGACGAGGTATGCACACGCAAACGCGCACGAGCACGAGCACGCGCATACCCATGCGCCTGCGCAACCTGACGCGGCTAAAAACTCCCTACACATACGTTGTAACAAAACGCAACCCGCCCCGACCATGGATTATACTGAAGCACGGAATCTACCTTCGCTTACCTCCCCCGTCCCTCTCCTCACTTCTCCCCCCACATTCTCCCCGTACAATATCGCACGTGACAGTATCACGTGGGGCACACCTACATGCGGTCGCGCATGCAGATGGAGAACACCAAGGGGCGCGAGGGCGTCGAGGTTATCGCCAGCGAGCCGTTTAAAGACGACGTGTTGGGCGAGGGTCACTTTTCGCACGTCGTGCACCACTTTCAGGGCCGCGCGCCCGCATGGATCCGCGCGCTCGCGCCGCTCAAGGCGCTGCGGCTCGAGGAGAAGAACTGGAACGCGTACCCGCGCAGCCGCATGGAGCTTAGCGTAAGCTCGCCGGGAAAGGGGACGGGACGGGGAAGGGGAAAGAGGGTACCGGTGTCGCGAAACTGAGGCGGCATTTCTAGTGTGCCATACGCGTTGTGATTTGGCTACACGCTGTTTGCTCTTTGCTTCCCCTATCTCATTCGTCAGTATTTTCTGACTCTCATTTTTCGCCTCTCCTGTCTCTCCCTGTTCCCCCTATTTGCTTCCCCCTTCCCCCTCGCCCGTTGCAGTGCCCGTATTTCACAAACTTCAAAATAGTCGTCGACACATATCACCTCGCCGACCGAGGCGACACGGAGAATGTGAGTGTCTCCCGTCCCGGGTTTAGGATGCTGGTATATGCCAGCTCTATAGTAAATTAATATCGAAAGTCTACTAGCTGCTGGTTGGGAAGCAATGTGAGCCAGCGTGGTGGTTTTCTTGTGGTTCCCAGACTCCGTTACCTCCGTTACTTGTGATTCTTGTTTTGGTCCTCACCCCGCCACTCCCCCGCTCCCTCCGCTTCCCCCACCCCCCATTCATCTCGTCATCCTCTTCTCTTCTTCCTCCAGGCGTTGAATCTATCAAAGGCTGACTTGGCGCTGCGCAAGGTGGACCACGTGGACATCGCGTCGGCCGACAGGGACATGTGGTCGCGCATCATCGCGCGGAAGCGCACCGACCCCTCCAAGATCGCCCTGCTTAAACTCAACCGCGGCCCGCTCGCCCCCGGATGGCAGGTAAGCTTGGAGGATAGTCAGATGGCTCGCTATTACCTTGAACATGGCTGCTCGTCGTATCATGTACTCCTGAACGACAATGGCGACTGCTACGATCCGAACATATCATATTCGAACATGGTTCCCATCCGTTCCTTTCCGCGTGCAGGAAACGTGTGGGCCTGTGATGACGTCGTACAAGTTGATTCGCGTGGATGCGCCCTACTGGGGTTTCGGCAGGCAGATGGAGCTCGCTGCGATCGCCGTGAGTGCTGTCTTGTCGCCGTCGCCGCTTCGGTTCATGCGAGTGTCGCAATGATTGCTGCCATTGTTAGAAACGCTGCACATGTCGCTATTTCTTTTCGAACCCGCGTCTCCTCCCCTCCTCTCATACTCCCTCTCCAATGCTCCCCCCTTTCCCCCCCCCCCCTTCCCCTTTCTCCCCGCGCTCCCCATTCGATCTCAGGCGCACCGCGCTCTTTACCTGGAGGCGTACAGAAAGTGCTACGCGTGGGCGGATGAGTGGTGCGAGATGACTGTCGCGGACGCGCGCCGGATCGAGCAGGAAAACATCGACAGAATGCGAAAGGTGAGGGCGCGTTGTAACATCCGCTTGTAACATAATTTGCAACTTCGACTATAATCTACTGACATCATCTAAAGCTACTGTTAATGCACTCATGGGAATCTCACGCTCGTATCATGAATCACCAAAGCACGTTACAACCCTTATTTCTATCCTAACCCTTTGTCCTGACCCAATCGTACCCACCCTTTGCCCACATCAGAGCCTTTCCCTGAGCGACAGCGTGGATGATGAAGCTTTTAGTGATGCTGTAGAGGATGCAGTGGAGGGGGAGGAGGAAGGAGAGGAAGAGGGTGTGTTCAAGTCAGCAGTAACAGCTTTACCTGCTGTTGCTCCAGTGGCCGCATGAAGGTGGACAGCATACAAAAACAGCTGCATGGCGATGCACATTGAGCAATGCCATAAGCTTTCCCATGGCCATCACTGTACAACGTTCGGGATACCGTGCGTACGATGCACCCTGCTCTTCAGGCATCAGCTAAAGTGGGTGCATCCACAGCTTAGCAAACACACTCTCCTCTGCAGGCCAATCAGGCGGGTGAATGGAGGAGAGGCAAGTGACAGATGGGAGTTATTCAAGTCAGTTTGATACCGAAACACGCAACATGGTTGCACGAGAGGCACATATTACGCAGCAAGCCGTCCTACCTACCCTGCTCCCATGGCTGAGAGACTCTTTCCAGCTACTATAGACTTCAGTCAAGAAGTCAAAAAGCAGCTCAGATCCTGGAAGCATCCTGCCTTATGGGCTGTACACAGTAAACAAAAAGCAGCTCAGATCCTGGAAGCCATTTCATAGCCAGTTCTCTTCATCACAAACGTGATACTCAGCCTTTGCCACAATATCTTACTTCCTCAATCACCTCCCATCGCCATGCACGCACCACTCCCAGGGCCAAATTGTGCAAAATAACATGTTCTCCCATCCCATACATGCAGACATCCATCAAAATGATAAAAGAAAACCCATCATTCCCAAGCCTGTCTCACCCCACCATCCTTTGCACCAGCTCCTTCACATCCACAGCCATCACGACCATGACACCCGTCCGACTGTCTCGTCTCCCCCACTCGATAACTCATCCCTACATCTGACTCAACTGACAAGTCACCTCCCCCGCCTCCCCCTCGGTGACTCATCTTCACTTTCACTCTCATCCCTTCCCCTCCGCCTCCTCCCCCCCTCCCTGTCCCCCCGACCGCCCCTGCCCTCAGGAGACGCAACCCTTCCCCCTGCCCCCTTGCCCTCGCCCCTGCTCCCCCGCAAATCCCCCTTGCCGCTCCTCGCAGCAGGAGACGCATCCCTGCCCTTGTCCCCAGCCCTGCGCACTGGGGGCCCATACTCCCTTCCCCTCACCTCTGGAGACCCCCCCCTGCCCCTACCACCGCCACCCCCCCTGCCCCCGCCACCCCTGGGAGCGGGAGATGCGCTCCTGCTGCTGCTGTCGTGACGGGGCCTGGGAGCAGCAGCGACCTGCCTGCGGGGGGGAGGAGAGGGCGACCTGGAGGGCGAGCGAGAGGGAGACGACGAGGGCGACGAGCGACCAGAGGAGCTCGTGGGTGAAGCGGCAGCGGCAGGGGCAGCAGCAGCAGCCCTTACTGGGCGCCGCTGAGGGCTGGGGGAACGGCCTCTCTTGGGGCTGGGGGAGCGGGCGCGCTTGAAGGTGGGGGGAGCCGCGCGTTTAGGGCTGGGGGAACGAGAGCGCTGGGGACTGGGGGAAGGGGCGGCTCTGGGGCTGGGGGCGCGATAGCGCTTGGGGCTGGGAGAGCGCCCGCGCTTGGGGCTGGGGGAGCGACCGCGCTTGGGGCTGGGAGAGCGCCCGCGCTTGGGAGAGACAGAGCGCCGATTGGGCGAGAGGTCTTTGGGCTCGGCGCGGAACGACCTCTGCTGCCTGCTGCCGCGCCCCTCGAAGTCCCTCTCTTCCTGCGCCGGCTTCCTCCCCCGCCCCCGCTCCCGCTCCCCCTCTCGCTCCCATTCCTCCTCCTCGCTCTCCGATTCCCCTCTCTCCTCTCTCAACCCCCCGAGCTTCTTGAACGATATGCTCTTGCCTGCCATCCACCTGTCCTCGCCCTCATCAATATCAGCAGCATCAGTGGCGCGCGCGTCCCTCCGCTGCTTCTTCCGCTCACCCGCCTGCTCCTCCTCTCTTCCCCTCCCCCTCCTCTCGTCCCCCCTCCGTGTCTCGCCCTCGTCCTTCCGCCGCCCTTCCTCCCGCTTCCGCTCCGCTCTCAACCTCTCCGCCTCCCTGCGCTCCGCCTCCTCCTCCCTCCGCTTAACTTCCTCTTCCGCCCTCCGCGCCTCCGCCTCCCGCGCCTCTTCCGCCCGCCGCGCCTCCTCCGCTTCCCGGAGCTTCCGCGCCTTCTTTTCCTTCCGCCTCATCTCCTCCTCCCGCTCCGCTGCCTCCTCCTCCGCCCGCCTCCGCGCCTTCTCTTCTTTCTTAAGCCTCTTTTTCATCTCCTTCTCCTCCTTCCGCCTCTGCTTCTCCCTTCGCCGTTCCTCCTTCTCCCGCTCCTTCTCCTCCCGCCGCCGCGCCTCCTCCGCCTCTTCCCGCGCCAGCTGCCGCTCCTGCCGCCGCTGCTCCTGCAGCTCGCGGTCGAACGCGTCCCCTTCTTTAGCAGACTCGTTAATGCGCAGAGCGGCTTTGAGCGTCTCCATCTTCTTCTCCTTGCGCGCCACGATCTGATGCGTCTGGTTCCTGCCACCCGTCGCCACCCGTCGCCAGCAAGGACGGGAAAACGATTCAAAACAAAGGTCCAAGACAGTTAAGCGCCAAGAAAACCTAAAGCCGCGAACTAAATCTACTGGGAATCAAGTACTGGAAGCACGGCTGGGCGGTCGAGAAACGAGCGGAAAAATAGCGAGAAAACAGGCAACGGAATACAACTACCAAATAACCCTACACAGCAGCAAGCATGCGTGGTTTGTCAGCTCACCCTAGCGAGTCCAGCGCCTGGTCCTCCGATTCCTCGCGCATGGCGGCCTCGAGCTGCGCGCGGGCCTGCTCCATCTGCTCCTCGATCTCGTCCTCCAGGTACCCCTGCTCCTCCAGCGTCTCGCGCAGCAGCAGCAGCTTCAGCTCGATCTGCCGCTTCCGGTCATGCTCCAGGATTTCTTTGTTCGCCTTGCGGCTGATTCCGCCCGTTCCCGCGCCTTCCTGGAACTCCTTCGCCTCGAGCTTCGTGTGCCGGTGGCGAATCGCGAATTTGTTCGCTTGCACGTACCCGTTGGTGCCGGACCCGCGGGCCGTCTGAAGCCCTATGCCGTTATACATGGCGGCTCGTTTTCACCGGCACTCAGCTCCGATAAATTCGAAGGTTGATAGAGCCGAATTAGCAGTTGGTGAGCCTTAATCGCAGAAATGTAACGACAGAACCAGGAATGGCGAGGATCAAGACTCAAGAATCGAGTGGAGAATCTTGGAGAGCAAGAAACTCGAATCCAAAGCAGGACGAAATTAGCAGTAGAAGAGAGGGAGGGACGATGTTAGGGTTTACATGTAGTTGAGTCGGACAGGTTGACGTCCGCAAAATCCCCTCTATGGTGTAGTCCAGTATTGTATTAGCCCAGCTTGGTATGAGTAATGTACTGTATTCATTGCGAAAATGTCTTGGCCTGGCACTAGCCTGACTCGACAGCGTGGCAACCTCGTGTCGACTGTGACCGTCGATCTTACTAGTTCAAGCGACACGATGGGGGCGAGAGGGTTCTATTCGCTGCAGACAATTCGCTACCCTGCATTACACAAACTCACGAAATTGCTTCCCAAAAATGAAACGTCCAATAAAGAGTAAAAGCATTTCACATGCTCCACACTTAGTGCAGGCACAGCAGAGACAGGAGTTTTTCCACAGGCATTCAACAAGAATATGCAGTTGCTAAGACAACCAAGTGTTCTTGTAGTCTCATTAGTCCATTCCACTTGATAAACCCCCTCCTGAGGCTCCTTCGCTTCTATCCAAGCCTGCTTCTCCCCCATCAGCTCCTCTCTCCTCGCCTTGAATGAATGGTAGGACTTCACCACTCACGGCACCAGCCGCCACATCCGCAGCCGCCATCTCAGCGGCCTCTCGTCGCCGTTGCTCCTCAATGACCCTTTCAGCCGCCACCTGGCGGGCCTCTTCCACATGCTGCCACATGTCATCACCTGGTTGGACACCCGCTCGCTGCATATCTTCCAAGATTGCGACTGCTGTGTCGATTTCCAGGAGCCCAAGGCACGTGTTGACCACCGTCTTGTAGAGGTTGCTGTGAGAGAAGCAGAAGAGAGCAGATGAAGGCGGGGAGGAAAGGAATCCATTTTGAGTGGACTCAAAATTTGACTGCTGTGTCAATCTCCAGGAGTCCAAGGCACGTGTTGACCACCGTCTTGTAGAGGTTGCTGCGAGGGAAACGGAGGAGAAGAGAGGAAAGCAGGGGGGGAGGGAGAGTAGACCGAGATGGAAGAGCAGGGAGCAGAAGCAGTTGGTTAGGAATGCGACATGGAAATGGGGTGGGAAGGAGGTGAGTGTCAGAGAGCTTTTGAAACGATTTCAGACAGCAGCAAGAACGAGAAGAGAAGCAGGCATACATCGTATATATGCAATATCCTTCTAAGGGCGTGTGTCCTTGGGGTCAAACTTTGGCCAAAGTTCAACCTTCTAGAGAGGTTGTACACAGTAGGATACAGTTTAGAAACGTTTCGCCACGGTGCAAAGAGGTTAAGAGTGCGAAACTCGACAAATTTTCGTCAAAAGTCATACTCCCTAAGCTCCAAAACCATGGCAGAATGCGTGACATTGAGCGGCAAGGCCATGTATTGATGGCACCATCAGCTTATAAAGTACACCAAGGGACATGCTCAACGTTTCACTCACATGCCGAACTTGTGACCAATCGCATGTGACTTCTCAACCACCCCCTGCATAATACGACAATCGTTGCCGTCCACTGCCGCCCACAGCACCATGCAGCAGTCCGCCAGGGTCGGCACGCCACCCAGCTCAATCACCTGAGGGAGCAACAAATGGCGCAGGCAGCGAGAACATTGAGAGGGAGGCATTGTCCCACTGACAAGAGACAGACTGATTCGCTCGTCTCGTCATATCAACATCTCATTGTCGCCAGTCCCATTGTCCCAACGCCTCACTCCCTTGTTGTCACTTCGTCACTTCCTCACATCCTCTCGTCTCACCAGTTGAAAGATGCTCCACGCGCTGTCAAGAGAATGGTCTCTCACTCCACGGCAGCACAACACGCTCCTTCCTTGTCCACCCGCCCCCCTTTCGACGGGAAACAAGGCCCCACAGTTCCAGTTACAACCCCACATGCCCCCAAAAGCACACACCAATCCAATTCCCCAATTCCCTCATCCTCTCTCTCCTCACCAGTTGAAAGATGCTCCAAGCGCTGTCAAGCTCCATTCTCTCACTCCATGGCAGCACCGCCCGCTCCTTGTCTGCCCGCTCCCACCAGTGGCCCCACCGCTCCTCATCCACCCTTTTCCCTTCCAACCGCAAACAGGGCCGACCGCACAGTTCCACTTGCAACCTTGAAAAACATCCCCGAAAAGCACACAAACACCATTGCTATTCTCCAATTCCCTCATCCTCACGTCTCACCAGTTGAAAGATGTTCCAAGCGCTGTCAAGCTCCATGCGCTCACTCCACGGCAGCACGGCACGCTCCTTGTCCGCCCGCTCCCACCAGTGGCCCCACCGCTCCTCCAAGGTGAAGATGCCATCCAGAGTGGTGGAGAGCGGTATGAGGTCCTCCTCCGCTCGGAACGCCTGCATCTCCTCGTCCTCCTCTGCTGCCTGCGCTGCTGACCCTGCCAGGATGGCCGGTGCTGCTGCATGCACCTCCCCCTCGTCCTCATCGTCATACAGGTCCTGGGGGGAGGGGGGAAACCGGGAGGAGCGGGGAGGAAGGAGAAACCAGGGGGAGGGGGAGAGGGGAGAAGGGCGAAGTGGAGAAGGATGAGTTGATAGCCTTGCCCTAATCCTCATTGCTGTACAGGGATCAGAGAGGGGCTGCATCTCCTCGTCCTCCTCTGCTGCCTGCGCTACTGACCCCGCTAGAACGGCGCTGCTGCATGCACCTCCCCCTCGTCCTCATCGTCATACAGGTCCTGGGGGGAGCAGGAGGGGGGAAAGGGGAGGGGAGAGGGAGGAGCTGAGTGCCTCTGCTGGTGGGTGTTTTCTGCCTGCTGCATGCACCTCCCCCTCGTCCTCATCGTCGTACAGGTCCTGCGGGGAGGAAGACGAAGGAAAGGATAAAAGGAAACAAAAATTGGGGAGAGAGAAACGGGAATTTGGGAGGAAGAGTGTAGGAGAGCATGAGGGCATGAGAGGATGAGAGGACGAATGCACACAACTGTGACCTTCGTCTCTCATCTCACCAACGACTTGGCCTTGGCTCTGCCTGCTGCGCTCCCACCGCTGCCACCCGCAGCGCCGCCCACCAGCTGCGAGGTGAGCAGCCCGCCGCCGCCCCGCACGCCCTCCTCTTTCATGGCCAGCACCGACACCTCCCTCTCAGCTCCGCCCAAGGTGACTTTTGAGTCGACTCAACAAGTCACCTCAACACCTCCCTCTCTGCTCCGCGCAAGAGAGGGCGGGAGCACAAGTGCGCAAACCTATGCGCCTCAACTCACCGACGGCTCAACTCACCGAAGATTTAGCCTTAGCTCTGCCTGCTGCACTCCCGCCCCCGCCGCCCGCAGCGCCGCCCACCAGCTGCGAGGTGAGCAGCCCACCCTTGCCCCGCACGCCCTCCTCCTCCATTGCCAGCACCGCCACCTCCCTCTCTGCTCCGCCGCCCAGCATGCCGCCCGCCTGCCCCGGCGCCACCTCCTCCTCGTCCACCGCCTCATCCTCTTCCCCCACCGCCCCCTCCTCCTCCTCTTCGTCCTCATCCTCCTCATCATCTATCACATCGTCCACTTCTAAGTCCTCCTCTTCCTCCTCATCATCATCCTCATCTTCTTCCTCCTCCTCTTCCTCGTCCAGTTCTTCATCTTCCTCGTCGTCCTCTTCCTCCCCGCCGGACAGTGCCGCCCGGATCCGCTCGTCGGCCGCCCGCTGCTTCTCGTCTGCTTCCCGCTGCCGCTCGTCCTTCTCGCGCTGCTGCTGCTCCGCACTCGCCCGCCGCTCGCTCTCCCTCATCATCTCTATCACCTGCGGCCACGATGCTGCTGTACCGTCCAGAGTTAAGTGCTCTAGCAGATACTCCACTCTCGCACTTGCCTGTAAACAAAGGGTTTGAGGAGAGGCGGGAAGGTCATACAGAGGAGGGAGCCTATCATCTTTATTACCTTTCCGCCACGACGCTGCTGTGCTGTCCAGTGTCAGGTCCTCCAGCAGATACTCCACCCTCACACTCGCCTGTAGAAAAGAGGGGGTGCAGTGGAAGGTTAGAGGAGGAAAGTATCGTCTCAATCACCTGCCATCCAGTGTGAGGTGCTCCAGTGTGAGATTCTTCACTCTTGCGCTCGCCTGTAGGAGCAGGGAGGTTGTTGGGAGTCTGTGAAAACGAGAGGGAAAGAGAGGTCGATCACCTCTATCACCTGCGTTCAAACACAATGCTGCCGTGCTGTGCCGTGCCGTGCCATCTAGGGTCAGGTGCTCCAGCAGATATTCCACTCTTGCACTCGCCTGTGAAACAGGAAGGTGAAAGGGATAGAGGGGTTATCCTCACTTAGTCAGCAATCACTTGCAACCACGGTGCTGCTGTGCTGTGCCATCCCGTGTGAGATGCTCTAGCGGATACGCCACCTGCGACCGCAATTCTGGAGTCAACCTAGAAAAGCCACCATCAACATCAACGAGGTGACTTTTGAGTCGACTCAAAAGTCAATTCTGGAGTCAACCTAGAAAAGCCACCATCAACATCACCGAGGTGACTTCTGAGTCGACTCAAAAGTCAATTCTGGAGTCAACCTAGAAAAGCCACCATCAACATCAACGAGGTGACTTTTGAGTCGACTCAAAAGTCAATTCTGGAGTCAACCTAGAAAAGCCACCATCAACATCAACGAGGTGACTTTTGAGTCGACTCAAAAGTCAATTCTGGAGTCAACCTAGAAAAGCCACCATCAACATCAACGAGGTGACTTCTGAGTCGACTCAAAAGTCAATTCTGGAGTCAACCTAGAAAAGCCACCATCAACATCAACGAGGTGACTTTTGAGTCGACTCAAAAGTCAAGTCTGGAGTCAACCTAGAAAAGCCACCATCAACATCAACGAGGTGACTTTTGAGTCGACTCAAAAGTCAATTCTGGAGTCAACCTAGAAAAGCCACCATCAACATCACCCACATGCACCACTCAGCACCCACCATCTACATACATACACCACTCACCTGCATGACAGGCTCTCTTGCCTGGGGCGTCCACAGGGGTTTCCCCAGCACCTTTTTGAGCCGTATCGCCCGCTGCACTCTTGCATACAGCAAGGCGTGATTCCCATCGGTGGGCAGCCCCTGCCCCGCCAGCTCCTGCCGCAGCTCCCCCACCACCATCTTGCTCGCCGCCTTGTCACGCCGATCACTGAGTCAACTCAGTCATCCTACCACCCACCTCCACCCACCTGCACCACACAGCACCATAATCTCACCTGCATCACAGGCTCTCGGGTCTGCGGAGTCCACAGCGGTTTCCCCAGCGCCTTGTTAAGCCTTCTAGCCCGTTGCACTCTCGCATACAGCACAGCACGGTTACCATCGGTGGGCAGCCCCTGCCCCGCCAGCTCCTGCCGCAGCTCCCCCACCACCATCTTGCTCGCCGCCTTGGGCGCCCTCGCCCCCCCCCGCGCCCCCATCAACCCCCCCGTCAGCCCCCCGGTCAAACCACCGGTTAGGCCCCAGCTGCTGCTGCCAGTGCTGGCAGTGGCGGCAGCTGTGGCAGCAACGGCGGTACCAGCAGCAGTGGCAGCATCAGAACCAGCAGCAGCAGTGGCTGGGAGCAAGGCGGCTCCGCCTCCACCCATGGGTGTGCCTGCGCCCGCCCCTGTGGGTCCCTGGATCTGCAGCTCCATCTCCAGCCACTCCGCCACCTCCACTGCCTCCTCCTTGCTCACTCCCAGTTCCGCGGGCCATGCCGCCACTCCCTGGAAGGTGGAGTGGAGATATGGGGGTGGAGGGAGAAGTGGGATAAAGGGAAGAGATGCTGGGGAGGTATGATCTGCACACACTCCTTGCAAGCAACGTGTCATGAGCTGCTTGCACCGCACACAACAGCCTTCACCCGCACTCAACCACCCCTATCCCCCCCTCTCTTCTCTCACCACATAAGCGTGTAAAAAAGCTGCTTGCGGTATGCCCGGAAGCACTCGCACCACACTCAACCGCACTCTACCGTACTCGACCACACGTTCCTGCACTCAACCGCATTCTACCTCACCCAACAATTCTTACCCGCCACATGAGTGTGTAGTAGAGCTGCTTGCGGTAGGCCCGGAAGCGGCGCCCAAGGCTCTCCTCAAACGACACCGAGGGGGGAGGCAGCCAGAAGCCCGGCAGCTCGTCTGTTTCCATCTTGACCCGCCACCACCCCCCATGGCGCTCAATGTCCCTCTTCTCCCTCCTCTCCACTCTCCAGTTGTCTGACTCCTCTGCGGCTCTGGTGGGGGTAACGACACAAGGAGCACAGGCAGACGATAAGAACGGAAGGAGAAGTAAGTGCGTTTGGCTACAATCGGGCTCCATGTCACTCGGGCTCTATGTCACTCGGGCTCCATGTCACTCGGGCTCTATGTCACTCGGGCTCCATGTCAATCGGGCTCCATGTCACTTGGGCTCCATGTCAATCGGGCTCCATGTCACTCGGCTGCATCCATGCTGACTCCAGTGTGCGTCGCTGAAGCCACTGGTGACGTTGGTATGCTTAAGCTTAACCTGATGCTGATGCTGATGCTGATGCTGATGCTGATATGCTGATGCTGATATGCTGATGCTGATGCTGATATGCTGATGCTGATGCTGATGCTGATGCTGATGCTGATGCTCTGATGCTGATGCTGATGCGCTCATGCTGATGCGCTCATGCTGATATGCTGATGCTGATGCTGATGCTGATGTGCTGATGCTGATGCTGATGCTGATGCTGATATGCTGATGCTGATGCTGATGCTGATGCTGCTGATGCTGATCCTGATGCTGATGCTGATGCTGATGCTGATATGCTGATGCTGATATGCTGATGCTGATGCTTTCCTTAATATGATGCTCATACTCCCAATGCCGCCCGCATCTCACCGTTGAATGTAGTCAGTGGGCTGCCCATAGTCAGGCTCCATGTCACACGGCTGCATCCATGCCGACACCAGCGTGCGGCGAGCGCGTTTGTCCACCAGCAGTGCTGACGCTGGCAGTCTCACTGCGTCTCGCACCATCGCCTGCAGCACCTCCTGCATCTCCTGCACCAGACCTGGGAAAGGGGGGGGAGTGGGGTGATGGAGAAATATATTCATAAATGATTCTAATGGTAACTTTCCCCCCTTTGCAGGGCCAACACAATGACATGGCAACCTGATAAATCCAAATCAGGCATTGCAACACACTGACTGTTACCTTCAACTAAAACCCACCCACCTGCTCGGCAGAGCGCTCTGAGAAAGAGCGCAGTAGCGTGGTAGCGATCGCCCCTCTGCACGTCCAGGCAGGTCATCTGGCCTGGCAGCCGCTGCAGAGCTCGGAAATGCCGCACGGCCTCTGATAGGAAGTTCCAGTCCTTGCAGAATATCTCCACCAGCAGACTGGGGGAAGGGAGGGGGAGAAAGAGGGGGGGGGGGGGGGGAAGGAGGCGCAAAGGTGGAGGATGGGGGGGAAGGGCAGGGGAAAAGCGCATGGGAAAAAGGTGTGGAGGGGAAGTGGCGCTCGGCCTCTGATAGAAAGTTCCAGTCCTTGCAAAATATCTCCACTAGCAGGCTGGGGAGAGGAGGAGGGGAAACGCGGGAACAAAGGTGGGGGGAAGGAAGCGGAGGAGTGGACACAGTTGAGAACAACGACAGAAAGTGCTGCTGAAGGGAGCGCGTTGCTGTGGTTGTTTTCTTTTCTTATCAAACGCACGTTGGCGGGCGGGGAGTGGAGTTTTGAGACGCCTCGTTTTGAGGCGCCTCAAAAATAGGGAGGGCTTTGCTGTGGTTGTTTTCTTCTCTTATGAAACACACGTTGGCGGGCGGGGAGTGGAGAGGAGAGGAGGCATGCGAGTGAAGGCATGCTTTGCAAGGAAGGGTGAGGCACGTACGAGTAGGTCTTGCCGTTGGGGTGCACAGTGCCATCCTCCACCATGCGCCCTATGAACTCCAACGTGTCCTCGTACCTGCCATGCGGGGGAGGGAGGGGGGCAGAGGGACAGGGGGCATGAAGCAGGGGGCAGGGGGCACGGGGCAGGGAGCATGAGGGCAGGGAGCATGAGGGCAGGGAGCATGAGGGCAGGGCGTGGGAGCAAGCGGCAGGCCGTTGGGATGCACAGTGCTGTCCTCCACCATGCGCCCTATGAACTCCAACGTGTCCTCGTCGTACCTGCCATGCCATGCAGGGGGAGGGGGCATGAGGGCAGGGGGAAGGGAGCATGGGGCAGGGAGGCAAGGCATAGGAGCACACTGTTGAGGCGAGGATTAGCGGGGGCGACAGGCAACGGATCAGTTGTGGGGGCAACAGGTACAAGAGTAACAGGGGGGGGCTGATCTCAAGTGCGCAGAGCTTCGTAGGAATGACTTTGATTGCACAGATGTGGCCGATGCACAAGTTTGGCGCCCAAAATCCAAAGCGAGGAAATAGGGGTTGCGTTGACCAGCCCTTTGCCTTAACCCAATGAGAAAGAGGGGTTTGCGTTTCTATAACCCACCTCTCCTGGGGGTGTGCGGCGAAGGCCTCGAGCACCCAGTTGTAGGAGTGCACGTCTGGCTTGCCCTCCCTGCGACTCTCCTTCAACCCCTCTGTGGCGTCATGGCACATGGCATGGCACAGATGGGCGAGATGGGCGAGAAGGGAGAGATGGGAGAGAAGGGAGAGATGGGAGAGAAGGGAGAGATGGGCGACAAGGGATGCATGCATGCACATAAAACAAGTGAGATTCAGAGTAGCAGGGGGGGCATGGCAGGGATAAAGCTGACAGAGGGGAGGTGGAAGTGAGGTGGTGTATAGAGTGATCTCCGATGCCCCCGTGAGCATAGTGGAGGAGATAGGGCAGTTGAGTGACCTCCGATGCATGCACTGCACTGCACTGCACTGCACTGCACTGCGTTCGTGTTGAGAGTCCCGCATGCAAGTCTCTCAACGTACCCATCTCTCACCCGCAGCCGCTCAATTGTATTGTACCCACCCTCACCCACCCCCATTCTCTCAACCGCCCTATCTCCACCCTTCCCACTCACCGCGTTGCTCCTCCACCATGGCTTCCAGCTTCTGCACCGCTATGTCCGGCACGCCCGCCTTGCTCTGGTGGGGGGGGGAGGGAGGGGGGGCGGGAGTGATTAGTTGACAAGGGGTGGGAGGGGGTCAGGTGGGGTTTGAGGGGTGGAGCGTTGCTCCTCCACCATGGCTTCCAGCTTCTGCACTGCCATGTCCGGCACACCCGCCTTGCTCTGGTGGGGGGGGGGGCAGCACGAGGAATGGCAAGGGGCCAGGGGAATTTGAGAGGTAACCGTTGGCAGGACAGGGAGGAGAGCAGCACAAGGTGACTTTTGAGTAGACTCAAAGGACAGGGGGAGAGCAGCACACCTCGCGCATCTCTCACACACCACGCCACACCACGCGCCACGCTCACGAGGACCTTCCTCTCCATGAGCTCACGAGCGGGAGTTCATGAGTTCCTTTCCTTCACGCACTTGTAATGACACGTGGCGGGAGTTCACACCCCCCTCTCTGCGCATCCTGTGCCACTGCACTCTGTTCTCTGTTCTCTGTTCTCTGAACAGAGTGGCACTCTGTTCTCTGTATGTAGGCACTCTGAGACTCCCGCCAACCCCAGTGTATGTACCTACTCTCTGAGACACCTCAACCCCCCCCTCCCGCATTTCTCTCCCCCCATCCCCCCATGCCCCACGCGCCATGCTCAATGGCATGTGGTTATGATGAATTGTAGCAGGCATCCACCCGCACTGCTCCAGTGCGTCTCAACACCCCATGGCCCCACCAAGCACCACGTACCATTCCCCATAACCCACATCCTCCTCACAAGCACCACCCACCATGCTCATGAGCACGCAGTTATGGTGGAACGTAGCGGGCGTCCATCCTCTCTGCTCCAGAGCGTTCATCACGTCATGAGCGTCGGCATGCCGGCCCTCCCGGCAGCTGCCCTCCACCACGGCGTCTATCAGCCCTGCTGTGGGCCACAGCCCGTCCTCCAACCCCCGCAGCAGTAGCGCCTTGCCCTCCGCGTGGCTGCCCGACGCGAAGAGCTCCTCTGGAAAGGCATGATGGAGGAAGGGGTGGGAGGAGAGGAGGGGGGATTCGACTGCTCATGAAACTCAGAGCTGAGACTTCTTGGGGAGTGGAAGGGGAAAGGGAGGACAGGCGAATGTGGCATGGAAAGGCCAGCTGCCCTCCACCACGGCGTCGATCAGCCCTTGTGACTCACCGATAAGGACAACCCACGCCGCCCGCTGGTTGAGTTTGAGCCCCCCCATGAGCGCGAGGATGCCCTCCCCCTCCGCCACCTGCCCCCTCCGCCCGCTCAGCCGCAGCACCGCCACCAGCGTCTCGTACAGTGGGAACACACCGCTGTTCAGCATGCGCCTCAGGGCGCGGCGCTAATAATGGGGGGAGATGGAAGGGGGACGGCAAGAGAGGAAGGAAGAGCAAAAGGGTGAAGAGGGAAATGTCGCCTCTCTGCCTGCCGCTCAGCCGCAGCGCAGCCACCAGCGTCTCGTACAGCGGGAACACGCTTCTGTTCAGCATGCGCCGCAGGGCCCGGCGCTATTCGGAGGGGGTGGGTATGGAAGGAGGGGTTGGGAGTGGAGAATGGGAGTGCCACTCCCTTGGCCGTATGCACGACCACTGCCACGTGATGCGTCCTATCCTCCCTCTTTTCCACTTCCCCCATTACTGACTTCTTCCCTTTCCCCCTTACCCCTTCCCCCCTTCCCTCCTTCCCCGCCTTCCCCCCCTCCCCCTCCTAACAGTCCGCTCACCGCTTCAAAGAGGTCTCCTTTTGCTGTGTGCACGACCACCGCCGCGTGGTGCGCGCGCGCACCCGCCCGGAGCCCCAGGCGGCGCATCTCCGCCATGCGCGCCTCCACCTCCTCCCCCGCGCCCGCGCGGCTGCTGCGCGCCAGCGACTCCGCGAAGAACAGCCGCAGTTGCTGCGCGTCCAGCGCGGATACCGGCACTGGGGAAGGGGGATGGGGGAAGGGAGTGAGAAGGAGGAAGGGAGTGAGAAGGAGGAAGGGAGTGAGAAGGAGGAAGGGAGTGAGTTAACGCCTTCCCACCAGACCATCCCGCCAGTTCTCACGGTGTTGAACATTTGGAACCCATTACACTAATCACGCTCGTGCACACTCACACTCCCACTTCTCTCGTCCTCTCGCCACCCGAATGGGCATCTTGAAAGACGAGCTCACCCGTGGAACCGAAACGGTCACCATTGGAACCGAAACGCTCACATGTGGAACCGAGCTGGTCGAAATTCAGAAGCCATTGCTCCGACTGCTGCCTCCTCTCCCTCCTCCTCCTCCTCCTCCTCCTCCTCTTCCTCCTCCTCTTCCTCCTCCTCCTCTTCCTCCTCCTCCTCCTCCTCCTCATCCTCCTCCTCCTCTTCCTCCTCCTCTTCCTCCTCTTCCCATTCCTCCTCGTCGTCTTCCTCTCCCCCCTCCAAACCTCCATCCACCGCTCTAAACCCCTCCACCTGACCATTCACTCCCGCTCTCCCTCCCTCCGTCTTGACTTGCGCGTGTGATCCATCCTGCGACAATGCCTGCAGCTGGCCATCGCTCGTCGCCGAGCCCGTCGCAGTTGTCGCACGTGCCGCACTAGATGCGTCGCCGTCGCTTGCTCCGCCGACAACAGTCGTCCACGACTCGGAATCAGATGACGACGCTAGCGACCGAACGACCCGCCTCTGCTGCTTGCTCTCACATCCAACCCCATTGCCGCAATGCGGTACCGGACTGCACCTCGCACCAACTACTGACCCAACAGCCTCTCGTAATCTAGTCGAGACACCAGGGTGCTTACTCGACGATGTGACTATATCGGGGACCGTATAACGGGTTGTAACCCTACGAACCGAGATTCTAGAGACTGGAAATCGGAAACCTAGCAGCTGAGAGCGAGAAATCGGAGGAAGGATGACGCTCGCGGGTTTGGGTTTATGATAAGGCCTGACTAGAGGTAGTTGGTACGCGGGCCTCGAGTGAGCCGAGACAGGAGGATACGCTGTCGCCATCAAGACCGCCGCGGAGATTTAGAACTGTGCGATGCGCGATGACGGCTCCTGGCGAATGCGAGATGTCAGAGACACATCAGGGACTGGGCTTCGTTTCGCCTGATGACCTGCGAGCCTAATCCGGCGAACGGTTAAACAACACAGCGATCGACTCTCACCACTCCAGACCGGAGAGTTAACGACGACCTAGGACTGGCAGTACCAAGGCTGGCTGCGACAATCCCAAGGTGAGATAGATTAGCTAGCCAGACATCCTGAACCAAGGTCACGATGACGGGTGGACCTTGGTATGGAGCAAGAAATGGATAGTGGAGGCCAAAATCTGTCCCTTGGGAAATGTTGCTGACACCACACCACGCGCGGATCCTCGCTTCACAATGACCAGGTATATTTCACAACTTGAGCAGTACAAGTCTTAACGAAATGGTATATATATCGAATGTAATGAGAATGGCAAGTATAAAAGCAAGGTCCCTCATTCAGAAACCCCTCAGGCTTTATGATGCGTGGCAGACTGGGATGAGTGTGGCGGTTGAGTACATGTTTCCCCCCTAACCTATCCAAAGACCCAAACTTTCAAAATATATCTTTCCAAGATGACCAGAAGTTTGGTCCTTGAATGACTCTGACTAGTGTGTCTCTGCTAACCCTGGTTCTGGATTGTGTCCCAGCTGCTTTCCTCCTTAGTTGGTTGGCTTGGTTGGCTGGTGAGTGTGGCACCTACACTGCATGCAAAAGAAACAGTAGAATTTACCGTATGCTCTTCTTGCTGAAACTCACTGTAGCATTGCTGTAGTGCCTGCGGTTATGGCTGTTGTCACAGCATCAGAATGTGCATGTTCTGCTGCTCTTGTACTCTGGCCGTTGCTTGCTGCAGATTTTGTGTGAAATAAAAACACCCCCTTGTCACTCCTTGTCATGGTGCATGTCATGTGCCCGCTGTTCTCTGTCTCCTTACCAGATTCTTGTTACTGTATGCTGCGTGCATGTCCCCTCACCCCACTATTAGTCACTTGTGTGTGCCTGTCACTTGGACCCCATCACCATGAGTGTGCCTGGCATGCTAAATGAACCTCTCTCACTCAGGGTTGTGAAGGAGGGCTTGGCCTGTAGCAGCCAAGCCTCCTGATAATGCCACACCACCGGACAGTCTGCCCTGTTTGCTTGGGTGTTTGTGCCCACACGCATTCCAGGCTGCCCCCACCCACCCCACCCACCTATTCCACAACATGCAGACCCATCCCTCCTGCCACAGCACAGCCCCTCACAGCAAACATAAGCACAGCTCATCTAAGCAAAGATAAAGACAGTTAAGGACAGATAAGCATGGCGAAGCACAGGGGCGATGCTTGTTGAACTCGTGGGCGTCCACCATGCAACACCCCACATGTCCTCTCCCTCGCCCTGCACTTCGCGATGAGCCACTTACACGGAGAAGCTGCCAACAGGACACCAACGGGACATGGAAAGAAGAAAAAGAAAGAGGAGCCACTTAGAAGCTGCAGAAGTAAATATAATTAGACGGCAAAGATTAGTTGTATGTTGCATTCACGTCAGATGGCCATTAAAAGGCGAGCACCAAGTGAGAAATGCACGATAACAAGGTGAGCGACTCCCCTTTGCAAAATCTCCCATCATACCCACCGTGTAGAACGTGCAGCACTGCTGTTGCTGCCACTGCTTCCCCCACGGATGCTGCCAGAGACAGCAATGGGACATGGAGAGGGGAGAAACAAGGTTGCAACAGCAACAGGATGCATGGACGTGGACGAAGGGAGAGAAGGGGGGCGAGGGCACAATGATATTAAGATACACAAATATGGAAGGGAGGGCGCAGTAACGTACTGGAGAAGGATGACGGGAAGCGAGTAAGGTACTGGAGTCTAGACAAGAACGCAAACATTGTTAAACAACATACATATAGAGAAAACTTGGAAACGTAGGGTGGAGTGTAATTACCCCTCCATTGCTGCAGCTGCAATCACTGCAGTGCCCGTTGATGATGCAACTGCTGCTGCCACCACCACTGCAACTGCAACTGCTGCTGTTAGGAACAGCAGGAGAGGAGGCGAATGGGAGAAACAAGAACAAGAGACACGACTCTTGCCTCTGCGCGGCGACAACCAATGACTCAATCCATGGCCCGCCTGCAAGCACCCCCTGGCACGTACCATGGTCCGTCCGCTGCTCTCCCAGTTTTGCGCCATGCCTTTGTCAGAGGTCCACTGGTGATCCCCGATTGATCCTAGGGAAGGGTTACAGGCACGTTGGCCTGGGGGGTTATGGGCGCACTCACCCGCTATATAAACAAGCCCTTTTATCCCAGTGGTTAGTGGCTGGGATTCTGACATGGTATCAGAGCGAAGGTCTCGGGTTCGAATCCCGGTGTGTGCACCTCGGGCATCCCAGTGCGGGGGGGTGTCAGAGGTCCACTGGTGATCCCCGATTGATCCTAGGGAAGGGTTACAGGCACGTTGGCCTGGGGGGTTATGGGCGCACTCACCCGCTACACAAACAAGCCCTTTTATCCCAGTGGTTAGTGGCTGGGATTCTGACAGCCTTCACCTCAGGCATCCACGTGCTGCGATTGCTCTCCGTCTCACAGGCCACGAGGCACACACACATGGGGAGAGAGAGACACACACACACACATGGGCAGAGAGAGAGACACACTCATGGGGTGAGAGAGACACACACAGAAGCAGAACAATGAAGGAGGGTTAGAAGCAGCAGGTGGCGAGTGGTGGACCCGCAAGCAATAGGCATGACTCTTGCCTCTGCGCGGCGACGCCTACGACTCACTTCACGGCCCCCCTGCAAGCACCCCCTGGCACGTACCACGCTCCGCCTGCCGCTTTGCCACTCGGCCGCTCTGCCTCCTGGACCACGCCTGTGTGCTGCTCCATGTTGCTCGTTGCTGCTGCGCCAAGCCTTCGCCCCAACCAGCGCCAAGACTTCGCTCCAAGCAGCGCCCTGGTGCTGTACGTAATCCAGGTTGCTCGCCGTCCCCTTCTGCTGCTACAGTTGTTGCTCTCGTCGTGACCACCTCCGTGCTGCTGTAAAGAAGAGGAGACGAGAGGAGAGGATGGGTTAGGGAGTTGAGAAGGGTGGCATGAACATATGGCAGCACATCAGCAAAGACTCGTGGGCACCGTGTATAAGTGTTAGTGAAGAGAGCCGGAACACATAATGCAGGAACATGGTGAAACGTGAAACGCACACTGCTTGACCTGATCCCCTCACAACTTCTTGTGTGCTCGCCATGGCGCCGCAGACGCTGCGGTCACTGGTGAGCCCTGAGTTGCTGCAGCCCGTGGCCTCTGTGAGTGCTGGAGTTGAGGGGAGAAGGGATGGCATGGAAGAGGAAGAGAGGCGTGAGGATGTGAACGAGCAGATTCTAGCTTGGAAAGGGACTAGGACAAAAAAAAATGCACGGTGCATTCGCCCTGCTGCTGCACTTCACTTCGCTCCAAGTTACCTCTTGTCTGGGAAGAAATAGAATCTTGTTGTCCCCACCGATGGGCAGGCAGGTTCACTCACTCCAGAGAAATCTGCCACACTCCAGAGCTTGAAGGCTGAGAGGCACACTCACAGGCATGCACACACGCACTCGCACACATGCACACCCACACCCCCCTTCCCCCTTTCCCCCCACACGCACATGCACGGTCCCCGTCCACTCGCTGCCATTCCCGTCCATCTTGCAGGACGTGAGGTACACACAAGCATGGGGAGAGAAACACACACACACAGAAGCGGCGCAACAAGGGAGGGTTAGGAGGAGCAGGAGAGGAGGCTAGTTGCGGAGGCAAGAACAAGAGACACGACTCTTGCCTCTGCGCGGCGACTCACTGCGACTCAATTCACAGCCCCTCTGCAAGCACCCCCTGGCACGTACCATTCTTGCACCATGCCTTCACTTCAGGCGTGCTGTTCCAGGTTGCTCCCCTTTCTCCCCTTTCTCCTCGCAGGACGCTTGTCTCTCGTGCAAGCCAGCAACGGCAGCGGTGTCAATTCCCCGTCCACTCGCTGACATTCCCGTCCGCCTCGCAGGCCATGAGGCACACACACGCACAGGGAGAGGGACAAGCACACACACACACAGGCAGTGCAGCAAGTGATGGTCAGAAGCAGCAGGAGGCGAGTGGCGGAGGCAAGGGCAAGAGACACGACTCTTGCCTCTGCGCGGCGACACGCTACGACTCTCTTCACTGCCCCAACCCCCAAGCACCCCCTGGCACATACCACGCTCCAGCTATGTGTTTCTCCTCCTTGGCAGGGTCTGCCGCTCCTTCGCCACGCCTTCACCCCCAAGCAATACCCCGCTGCTGCCTGTGCTTCATGCTTCAGGCGTGCTGCTCCAGGTTGCTCGTCGTTGCTACTGCTGATACACGTGACCAGCACTGCAATGCTGCTGCTGTGTCTCCATCACTCCCTG